TGGGCATTGACCTTGAGTTTGGGAGTTGTAGTTCACCTACATCCAGAGAGTACTGTGGACTCGAACAATGATGGATCTGGACCAAACTTGTCATGAATACTCAATATGCTGAAATGTGAACACTGTTGGAGTTTGGGGAAAATAGATCTTGACATTTGGGAGCTGTAGTTGCTGGGATTTATACTTCACCTACAATAAAAGAACATTTTGGACCTCACTAACGGTAGAATTGGGCAAACTTCCCACACAGAATCCCCATGACCAACAAGAAAATCAAGGCCATCCAGTCCAACTCCCTTCACCAGGGTAAGAAAATGTAATCAAAGCTCCTGACAAAGAGCCATCAGCCATAGATATAGATAGATATGATTCACACAACACATGTATCATAGATTTGAAAGGGACCCCTAAAGAAGGACAATGATATGTTGCATGTTCCAGGGTGAGCAAACCAGACACTCTCCACATCAACACTGACAAAGCAACAGCAAGAAATACTGTTTACCCACAAGCAGAAAGAAATTACATATATTAGAAACCAACACTTTCTCATTACTTTATTTGCCAGATCAACAGACTGGGCCACAGCAACACTTGGCTGGGGCAGCTAGTCTATATATATAAAAATGCTCTGTGCATAATGAATACCTTAAAAACAAAAAAACTATGGGACCTAGGAGTAGCATCACTGAAAAAAAACCCCACAAAAACACCTTTGCATTCAAAAAAGGAAGAAGACAACACACCTCCCCTATCCCCCCTCGTGCTGAGGACACAGAATGAGGATTCCAAAGCAGCAATGGCGGTAATAGCCCCTAACTAACACTAAGGCAAGGGACCAAAGGGCAGAGGCTGAGGAGGGGGAGGAGGGGGAGGAGAGAGGGGAGGGAGGAAAAACGAGGGAGGCAGACCACACTCTGTGCATACACTCTGACTCTCTGTCCCTCTTTACTGCCACCATCAAAGCTCTCACAACAGATGGCCAACCAGTTGCAAGGGAGCCCTAAAGGCCATCCAGTCCAATCCCCTCCTTTCCTCCCTCCTTCCTTCCCTTCCTCTACTTCCCTTCCTTCTCCTTCCTTTACTTCTTTCCCTCTCTCTTCCCTCCTTCCTTCCTGCCTTTCCTTTTCTCCCTCCCTCCTCCCTCCCTCCCTTTCTTTCCTTCCTTTTTCTCCTCCCCTCACCAGCTTCATCCTCCTTTATTAAATCTACAGTGTAGATGCACCCAAAGTCAACCCTTACACTGCCATGTAAAATCAGATTATCTACTTAGGACTGGATTATATGTCAGTGTAGATTCAGATGATCTACGGTATTGGGGGGGAACAGACAGGAAGGAAGGAGAGAAGAAAGGAGGGAGGGAAAAAGGGAAGGAATGAAGGAGGGAAAGGGGGAAGGAAGGAAAGAGAGAAGGAGGGAGAGAAAGAAGGAAGGAAGGAAAGAAAGAGATACCAAAGGAAGGAAGAAGAGAAAGTAGAAAGGAAAGAAAAATGGCGGGAAATGCAGGAAAGAGGTAAAGAAAGAAGGAAGGAGAAAAGGAAATAAAAAGTGAAAGAAGAAAGGAAACAGGGAGGGAAGAAAGGAGACAAAGGAAGAAGTATAGAAAGGGGGAGGGAAGGAAGGAAAGAGAGAAGGAAGGATGAAACCAAAGAACGAAAGAAGGAATGAAAGAAAGAGATAGAGAAGGAAGAAAGGAAAGGGGAAGGGGAAGAAAAAGGGGGGAAGGAATAGGTAGGTACCTCTCTTTCATAATATTCCAGATAGTTACCTCAACTTCAAAAATTCTTACTATAGGCCACAGCAACACGTGGCAGGGCACAGCTAGTAGGTATATAAAACAGGTGAAAAAACCAAACATCTACTGATAATAAATCAGCATTTCCAAGGCTAGGTAAACAAGTTGTTTTTTTTCCTTTTTGTGGAGCATTTTCCAAAGCATTTTCTACAGAGTGCACTAGTAACACTGCAAGTTGTTGCTAACAGATTTGTGTAAATGGGTGGCACTCAGGAATCTTTTACTGTTGTCAATTTTTTATGACCCCAACATTTTTCTTATCGTGTTAGAAGCAAATTGAGAATATACTGCAAGACGCTTCTGGTGTGAGAGAATTTGCCATCTGCAAGTATTGCCCAGGGGAAACGCCAATGTGTTACCATCCCGTGGGAGGCTTCTCTCATGTCCCCACATGGGAAGCTGGGGCTGACAGATGGGAGCTCACCCCATCTCATGGATTCGAACCTCTGACCTTCAGGTCTTCAGATCAACAGTTCAGCCAGCACAAGGGTTTAACCCATTGCGCCACTGCAGCTCCTACCTCAACATTGAACTAATGTGGCCCATTTGGGATCAGGACCCACAGTTTAAGAAGCAATGATTTAGACTGCAGCTGTGGATATGCTACAGTGTTTCATGTTTAAAGATAGGGATGAACAGCTCCATGGATACCTAAAACTAATTTGAAACAGACAGGTTTTACCATGATGGAATATACTGATACTATTATCGTCGCTGGTAAGCAGTTTTTGCAGTGTTTCAGAAGTAATATTTTTTAAAACGAGCACACATATTGCAGGCAGTATCTCATTATGAGCTCTGGAAGATATTTAATTATAAAAAAGAAGTATAATTCATCTCTATCTAAGATCTTTCATGCTAGACAGGTACCTTTATAACCTTTTTATGCTTCATTTAAGATGAAGAATCTTAGTCACAACTAATGTTTCTTTCTTCAGATGAGTTCTGGTTTATTTATAATGGTTTCTATACTGCCTTTTCAATACTGTACTGGGATACAAGGCAAAATGTTCTTGTATAGTGATATCACTCAATTATGTTTCTTACCACTTGAAATACAATATAGCTACCTGAGAATTTCTTCAAGTTTTAAAGTATTTACTCTCTTTTCTCCACCAGATAATGCCTGCTAATAGCTAACCGAACAGCACAAAGAGTGCACTTTAACCGATAAAAATGTACAAAATGAATGATGCTTCTCACTGTCAATGACAGGTTAGAAAGGGAAAGTTTCTAGTATTTCAAAGTGAACCTTCTGAAGGAATGCAGATAACAACTCTGCTAAAGCAAGATGAAAATTTCTGCCATGCATGCACTTATATAGTATTTATAGTATTTTGATTCACACCTACTATATTTTATGTTTAGGAAACACCTAGCACCAACATTTTAAGTTTTCGTGTCTTCAAATATCACTGGCATGCAAGCAGTATTGATGGATAGCCACTTTAGCAATAAATGCCAAGGTTTCAAACAATTTCTAGGAGTATTTCAACCATTTCATATTTGAGTGGATTTTGCTTTTTAACATCAGAACTCAATGGTAGAGTGATGCTGCCACCTATGGAGGCTGCACCTCAAGACAACAGAGAGTGAAAACAAGCATTAGCGATGAAAATAAAGAAGGGAACTACTGTATCTAGGAATGTGCAAAATCTTTTTCAATGGAAAAGCAAAATAAATTAGTCACAGAAATAAGAGATATAACAAAAGTTGGTTAATATTCAATTGCAAGCAGTTCCCACACACACACACACACACACACATGGATGCTTTGTATAGCATAGAGAAGGGTTGACACTCCTGTAGTGTTTGTTTTGCTGTCTGTGCCCACATTCAGAAGATTTCACCTCAGAAGATTGTCCCTATAATAATTGGATTTTGACAAAAACGGCTTGCTGTGGAAACAAGTCCCCAGTGGAGACACCTTTCGTAACTCTTTCATGGGTAAATTTCCCTTCCAAGGGGTAGGTTTCTCTCACTTCCTATTGCCCCTCCCTATTCTTAACTATGAGTCATTTGTAAGTCAGATGTCTGTAACTCAGGGACTGTCTGTAGTTGCCTTCACAAATGAAGCAAGGAAGTGTAATAGACATATATCAATGCACAAGACCAAATTAAGGTGATTGGGACTCTGGAGTAATTCTAAAAACTGGCTTTCTTAGGATGGGTATCCTATTCAGAAGTAGATGTGTTGGCAACACAGCAACATTTCACAAAATACCTCCAAAAGCAATAACTTTATTGGTGAGAAAATATATAATGTGGGAGCTTACTAACCCTCCCATTCTTCTACACACAGGGCCTACGACAGGAAGCATTGTAGAGACCAGGTTCAAATCCTCACTGTGCCATAGAAACCCACTGTTTGACCTTGGGCAAGTAACACTCTCACTGCCTCAAAAGAAGGCAAAGGCAAATCTGCTCTGAAAAAAAAACTTGCCAACAAAACTCCCATAATAAAGTCACTTTAAGAAAGGGCTTGTGGTCACATCACAGGAAGCACAATGACTGAATAACTAGCATATTTATCTTCTAAATCAAGAAACTAAAGTGAAAGATATGTCAAGAGGTGCAAAAAGAAACCCTGACACATTTTATTTCACCAGTCCCAGTACTGATCCCACCAGTCAAGCAAAATTGGTCACTTTTCATTGGAACCAGCTAATGCTTACGGCAAGTGAAATATTTTGAATTAACAGAACTCTTCTTCACGTTGTAAATTTCGTAAGAAAAAATGTAAACTTTTCCCACAAAGCTACAATAGTTCATTTCCAGTAAGAAGTTTTCATCTTTCACAATGAATTGATGGTGGGATAGACTGTTAAACTCATGTCCAAATGTACTAAAAAAGAAACAAGGGCGGGTTCAAATCCATGTCATTAATCATGAATACAAAAACTAGAAGATGATTGTTACAGTCGATTAAATTCATGTGGTATGGAAGGACATGATATTCCTTAGTTTCAAACGGATATGATTCTTTTTTTTGGGGGGGGGAGCCCAAAATGCAGAAAAATGGATTTTAACTCTGAAAATCACCTTGCCACAAAGTCGACTGCAACTTTACCAAAAAAAAAAAAAAGAGAGAAAGGAATTTTTGCTTTCTTCTGACTTCTCAAGTGATATTTTTCTTCTGATTCAAAGACCATGTTGTACTCAATTCAACAAGATGTAGAGGAGGAAAAGAAAAACAGACCCACTATTTTTCATCTGAAACATCTTATTTTATATACAAATCTACAGAAGTGTAAAAACAAAACAAATTAGCTGATTCACCTACTTGTCAGTATATCTTTTGTGTAATCTTATGTACACATGTAATAATTCAAATTAAAACAGCATTAAGAAAATCCATTTATATATAAAAAGCTTTTTCAAATTTTAATAAAAAGATAATGGCACTAATCCATCAATGAAGTTATTTTTATAAAAAAAAAACCCATTAAATCTACAGGTCATTGGTAGTTTGTTTTTAATGACCACTACTGCTGTTCTCAACAGTATCAATTGTTCCTGATTTAAATACCTAGATTTTCTTTCATGTATTAATCTTATTTGGAGCAGTTAAGGACTATAAAAGTATCATAAACACAATTTATTGCATAGTGCACCTACATGACCTTTAAAACATAGATTCTAGATTAATAAGCAATGACTTTAAAATTTTCCATTTTATCAGAAGTGGTTTGAAAGGAAAATACTCATCCAACATTATGGAAGTAAATTTTCTCATCAACAGTGGGAGTCTGCCTCTCCTTTCTCTCTCTTGCAGTCCCATGTCCTCTCCAAATCTGCTACACAAGATCCTTCAGCTTTCTGGAACTGATCTTGGAAGTGCATAGATGCTTCAAAAGAGAATCCATTCCACTAATGGACCCCATGCCTTTGATGAATGGGCATGAATAGATGCAACAAGTGGCTACTACTACATCCACAGCCATTGAGGGAGGGCAAAGTTCACTCACACTGCTAATTGTTGGCATATAGCAGCAGAAACAGAGAGCATCTGAAAGGGAACTGAAAACTAATTACTGATGAGGACAAACTTTTCTTCTCTCCACTAATTTGCAGTGACCAAATTAGCCTAGTGGAAATTCCCAAGAGAGAAAGGGAGGACAGAGAAAGGAGTAGGCTCACTGATATTAAAGGTGTGCTGATGTTACTTAAAACCGTTTTACAGTAGGATGAAATTCACTGGAGATATCTGTGATGCACATGACATTCAAACAGCATCCTTCCACAGTTCTACGTCTTCCCAGTGGCCACACAACAACTATTGTTTCTCTGCCTTTAGATGAACAAACCATAAAAGCTGCAGTGACAACAATGACAGAACAGTAACTTTATGGCTAATGGGTTAATTGACACAAGGAAGTTTTCTCCAGCCCTAAGACCTCCAGATGTTATGATACTGAACTACAACTCCCCTCATTCCAGCCAGCAGTGATGTGGTGACTAAGAATGAAGACAAAATAATCCTATGAATCTGGAAGATGTCAGTCAGGGGAAGGTAGCGAATGATAGCAAGAATTAACACATGCTGAAAATGGGACGGTAGCATTAGTATGTTACCCACTCTTACTGCATATTAATCTTTCATACTGGGGGATCTATGCAATTTTCATAGTTTCCTAGATTCCACAGGCCAGTTTTTTATTTTTCTGCTGCATTTTTGTACAAAGGGATGTGATTCTTTATTTCTATATATTTTTACTTTATTCTAGAATTCTTCTGTGAGTGTTTTTTTTTAAGAACTAAGAAGAGGGTTCCACCTAGGGAAGTTCATAGAGATTTACTTCAATCTATGAATAGCATCACTTTCATAGCACTATGATGATCATGTGAATCACATGCAAGTAAAACTACCAATATCAATAGGATCACATCATGCCATTCACAGAAATATATTCCTCGAAACAGTGAGGACAGACCATCTTGCAGGACCTGAAACCACAGTCAGTCAGCCCTCTACATTCACTGGGTTGAGAGGCAAAGAACCTTACAAAAGTAAAAAACTGAGATTTTTAAAAAATATTTCTTTTTTACCTGAGATAATTACATGTCTGTGAATCTTTAGGTTCTCCAGCACAACTCTATGGTCAATTTACACTGGACGTTTGCTATAGAAACATACCGGAGAACCTAGAGATTCCTAGAAAAACTATTTTAATCGAATTAATGAATAACCAAACCCACAAAAGTAAATTCTGCTAATGTGGAGTATCAACCATATAAATAAATAGATAATTACAATGGTAAACAGGTACCTCTTCCCATGACATATATCACACCACCACTGCCTGGTTTTCTCATGCCTGTAATACCACATTTTGAGAATTGGGACCCATAAAGAAATGCTTTTCCTACCACACAGTTTACAAGTATCTTGGTTAAGAAAATAACTGGCCCTTAGTTTTTGTTTTCTTTTGTTTTACAAATGAAGGTATAATGAACTGGAAAGTACAAATAATCAGATGGGACCATTTCAAAGGCACAATGGTTCCCATAGGAAAAGACCTGTATACATTGGCTCTGCACAGCTAATTCTTATCCTGCATTGCTACAGTAGCTCACAATAACTTGGGAAAGGGGGAAGGAGGCTTCCTGAAAGCCAAGTGTAGCACTGACAACTTCCGCTTGACAGTGCATCAAGTATCAAATGAGCACACTCTCCTTTTTATTTTGGTACACCTGAATATTTACAGCATTACAAAAAAAAAGTATCACTTTCTTCATAGATTCACAACTTCAGCAGTTTTTACATTTTATAATCCATTCTGCATTTGGGTTTAGCTGATACAAATCCTTCATGTAGGTATCTTCATCTAGGCAGCGTTCACCTGTTAGAGAAACACAAGCAATGAAAATGAGGCAAGATGCCACATAGAGAAGAAATATGAGGATCTGATGAACTCTAGCTGTAGAAGACCTTTTCACCCAGCACCACAGTCCAGAAGTAGCTAACTACAGTTTATTTACAAAAAGCATATACAAAAGCAGAAATGGCAATTCCCAAAAAATAGTAGAAAGGGTGCTATGAAATAGAAGTAGTGCAAAATACCAAGATTAATAGTCCAAGATAGCAAGATACAAGTAATGCATGAAAGCAAGGTACATGAAGTCCATGAAGTCAAGAGCATAGGCATAAAACCATAAATTCATAAGCATGAAATAGGAACATTAATTTATAAGCATGAAAACAGGAACTTTTCCAAGACAAAACTATTTCAGGAATGTAGGCAACTTGAGAGCTTAACATAAACTTGATTTTATGGCATCATTGTCTGCTCTGAGGAGGCTAGGAAGCCATCACTTAACTTAAGCTCAAATCTGACCATGAAGCCATGAGATCAGCCCTTTGACACCTGTGTTTCAAGGACTGCTTCTCAGGAGTCTTTCTGACCACCTAATTAACCTTTCCTTTGCTCTCTCTGTGTTGAGGCCTAATCTCATATCATGGGGTAACTCCTCATCTTCTGAAGGCCAAGAAGGCCAATTCTCAAGAGAAATGGAATCCCAAATATCATCTATCTCTTCTGCAGTTGTCGGCCCTTCTCTCTGATCTACAGCCTGCATTTCTGTCTGTGTTTCATCCTGATCACACTTGGCTTCCAAAATCAGTTTGTTGTATTCGGGGTGAAATGATGATGTCCTCTGGCTAAAATGTGCATTGATATTTGCTCCCTATTTTCTGCCACAACACAAAGCTATATACAATCAGTCATCACAATTTACTCTTCTTATCTCTTTGTCCTATGTCCAATCACCATGCAGCAGGTTGTGCAGGTAAATTACTATAGCTCATACTCAAAAAGTATACATTTCTAAGCTTGGTCCTTGACATGGTTTCATATGCTATTGGCATGTAGACACTCTAGTTGAAGTACTTATGCAAAATATCTTCACACATCACATTTATGCTGTACCACACATTTAAACCAAAGTTTGAATCGACACTAGTTTTATAAAGCGAACAGTCTTACCAATATTTCCTCCAACTTCATATAAAAACACCTCTTCTTTCTTCAGTGCTTGGACAGTTCCACTGAAAAGTAATATCACAAAATGATTAGGCAGTGGACCAAATCATTCACAACTAAAAGCTGCTGTATGTGTTTAGGAAAATGTTCTACAGTGCAGAAAATTGTCCATGTACTAAAATTATCATTTTCCATCTGTTAACTAATGGAAATAAACATATCATACTTGGACGATAATAGAAATTAAAGCCAGTGAATAACATGGAATCAAAATTATGAGAAGCAATTCACATACTTGAAAAGATGTAAACTTTTTGGCTATTTTTATACTGGGTGATCGAACAATTTGTCACAATTACATTATTATTTTTACAAAAATGCAATCAATATTAAAAAAATTAAAAACACTTCCATAATTTTACATATTCATAAAGATTTTAGGCCTGATGTTGACAGTGTTGATACATTTTCAGTTGTAGAGCAATGCTTCTACAAAGCCATCTGACCTCACTATCAAAGTATAAGGGAGGATCAGCACTCCTTTGGAGCAATACATCTGCTGAACTACTCATGCCAATACTGTAAACGCAATAGTTTTGAAAATCCAAATTTTGGAGCAAGTGTACTTGCATACAATTGCTATCTGCTCAAAAGCTAGTCAGTGGAGAAAGGAAACATTTCCTTGGGATGGTAGTGTGGTTTAGAGGAGAACTGGGGGACAAATGGATCCCATCATTCTAATGAACTAACAGATGATAGTTATTTGGCAAAAATATGACATTACTATATGCACATTTACAGTCTATTAACAGGTCAGGGGATTAGACAGGTCCAAAACTGGAAGTCCAACAATAAGGCTGAATGTTCCTTATACCAACCTGGCTTTGCAAAATAAAGTGTTACATTCTTCCAACAAAAATTAGAGCCATACACCCTGATGCAAAAGCAAGAAATGGATAAGATGGAGAACAATTCCTATCCTAGTCTTCAGCCCTCCTGGCCTCCACCAGGTCATCTCCAGAAAGTTGAGTTGACTAGAATGTGCTAGTAGTAGTTAAGGACACACACAGAATTGTACGAGCCAAGTTACTTCCTCACATGTGGTGGGATTTTTTAATGTAAATGTGAAAAGTAATTGATTTATATCAATATAGGAAACCCGGCAGTCAAGATGTCAGGCTTAAAACTCATAAAACCCCCAGATGGAATGGTCAAAAATGGTTAGGATTTGGGGAAGTGGAAGTTTAGAACATGTGAGGGACACCAGGTAGCTTATTTTTTTATTAAAAAAATCCTTTTCAATGTTTAATTTTAAACACATTGACATTTTTTTTAATCTTAAGAAAATTCTTCCTCAGTTTTGTTTTTTCAATCCATGTCATGTAAAACACACACTCTTAAATTCATTAGACAACTCACCAATTCTTTCCTAATGTTCATGAGATATCATGGTATATTTGTAAATGCAAAAAGAAAAATGGGTTCCCCTGAAACTGTGGAGACCAAAATCCACTGACCAAAATCCATATCACCACTATCAGTGGATTTTGGTCTCCACATATTTGTAAATGCCACATCTTTTATCTTCATTCATGTCACCCAAAATTGCACACACATGTTCATTTCACCCTGATTTTCTTATCCAGCTCAAAAAATCATTCCTAACCTTCTTGACGTATCAAGGTGCATATGTGCACACTGCAAAACATGACAGCTTATTAAGGCTCTATACAATGACTGGAAGCACTCCTGTTGATGAAGTTTCATATCCTGACTTCTAAAACAAGTGAGTTTGAAGGCAGTAATACTTATCAATTAAGTATCCCTTGAGCTCCTTTGCCAAAATGAAGTCAATTTACCCCCCCCCCCTTTTTTTTTTCAGTGTAGAATTCAAAGTGACAATTTAAAAAAGAAATACTAATAATGAAGCATTTAGGAAAATTAAGAAGCCAGGCTTATACCTCTTTTGGCTGAGGAATCTGGCAACGACATCACCAGCTTTTAATTCTTCTGTCAGCTGGATCGCCATGGAAACTTTGGAAAGATGAGGTGCTTGCACCCGTATTACTCCCTGAGGAACATCGGTCTGCAAAGCAATAATGAAATTGGAACATGGCAGCTTGCAGCTGGCTTTGAGGGGCTTCTCAAAACACAGTGCAGAATAATTAATTGGAGCAGATCACATACTGAATGTTCAAGTTAAGCACATTGTTCTATACAAAGCAGGTCCCCCCTTCCTTTCACCTATAAAACAATTCAACAAAATGTTTATACCTATTCTATGATGGATCACAAAACATATCGCTACCAGCATTCATATATATTAATAGGTAAAGTTGTTATCAGAACTTTCAAGACGGTTTCCACCATGTCATTCAATGCACAGTTTTGATACCCGATTTACATACCAATCAAATGTTCTTTCTACATTGAAAAGAAACCAAGACTTCTCTTTTGATTTTGTGCTTACACTATTATAACAGTATTTCAAGATTACTAAAAAGATGTATTTTCAAATCAAATGCTTTCGCTTCTTTCAAATATACTACAGTGTAACAGAACAGTTACGAAACTCTTAACAAAAGAGTGTAAAGAAATGAGTTATATTTCAAATTCTGAATGAGCTGTATCTGATATTAAATAACAAATGGCATTCCTATTTTTAAAAAGCAGGGTTCTTCTTTTTTTAAAAAAAAATCCCATATATGCTATATAACCTTTGATTAAAGTACAAATTGTTCATATAATCTTTAGCATAACCACTGCAGAGTTTTTATTACTAGACTGGCTCTTTATATGCTAGAATTTAATAAATCAGAAAACTAGATGAGTGGGTGACACCTATAAATATCGCTGGTTTCCAGCAATTTCCCCATATCCTATTTATCAAATAATTTACCTCTAATAAGGGGGAAACAGAAATTGTAAAGTAGCTTTGTCATTTTAAAACAGTGGAGGCAGAGAACACATTATGGAAAATGTGGAATAGATCTATTTAAACTTAGTTTACACATTACAGTAAGTTGCCTATTTTTTTTAAAAAAAGACAAAACAAAATCCCCCAAAAAACTTTGGTTTATTTGTAGAGGAAAAATTGGGACCAGGGAATGGGGTTGGAGCTATGAAGAATACTATTCCTGCTGCTATGAAGAACCAGAAGGCCAGAAACAAATATATCTATTGTTTGTCCTTCTAAAGCAGTGCTTCTCAACCTGTGGGTCCCCAGATATTTTGGCCTACAACTCCCAGAAATCCCAGCCAGTTTACCAGCTGTCAGGAGTTCTGGGAGTTGAAGGCCAAAAATATCTGGGAACCCACAAGTTGAGAACACTGTCCTACAGTCAAAACCGAATTAAAGCATAAGGCACGGGAGATGACACCTCCCAAACTCATTCCAAATATTGAGACATCACACACTGTGGTAACTAGCAAGTAGCAAATATTAACCATGCTTTTTACTCTAGAAGTACTTATGGAAGTAAAAGAGCCTGACCATTTCAAGTCTTGTTCAGTGCTGAACCCAAGCAGATTCAAATCTACAAAGGCAAATAATTGTTTATACCAGGGGTTCTCAAGTGAGGGGGGGGGGATCTGTGGCGCAATGCTCCTTCCCACCTCCTCTTCTTTCCACTTCCTGAGAAATGCAGAGAAATTATAGTTTTGAGCTGCCGAAACAGCAGCAGCATTCTCCTGAGGCACAGACCCTTATCCCGCCTCACTTGCTGCCCAAACCCTTTTTCTTGTTGACGAGATGCCACTCCCCCTGTTCCTGGCTTTCTTTGCTTCCAAAACTCTACTTCCCTCCCGTCATTCTGAGAGTGTTTTCATTGTGTTTTTCCTGCATGGCAAAAGGGGGTTGGACTGGATGGCCTCTTTATTATTATTATTTCAAAGGCTGGATAGCTACCTGTCAGGGGTGCTTTGATTGTGTTTTTTCTGCACGGCAGAAGGGGTGTGTGAACTGAATAATCTCTGGGGTTTCTATTATTATTATTAGCAGTAGTAGTAGTAGTAGTATTACAAAGGCTGGATGACCACCTGTAGGGGGTGCTTTGATTGTGCTTTTCTTGCATGGCAGAAGGGGGGTGAACTGGATAGTCTCTGGGGTTTCTTGTATTATTATTATTACAAAGGCTGGATGGCCACCTGTAGGGGATGCTTTGATTGTGTTTTTGCTGCATGGCAGAAGGGAACTGGATTGCCTAGAGAGGTCTTCTCTGAAATACTGTTGGTTAAAATTGTTCTTCTAAATATTGTATTGTTTTTTCTTTCTTTTCATTGGCTTTTTTTTTTTGCACTGTGTGCATTAGTTCACACAAACACTCTCCATACATCTGCCGCTGGCCAGGCCCATGCATGATATATATGCATTAAATATAATATAGAGAGAAACTTTTGCTTTAAAAAGGGCTTCACAGCTGAAAATGTTTGAGAACCCTTGATTTATACAATGCACTATCCTGCTCTTCTCACCACAACAAGATGCATGTTGCCAAAATAATCTCGCTTCCAGTTATAAGGTATCACAGAGCAAATGTATCTTCCATAGTTTGACAGAAGAGAGAATTTCAGCAGGTACTACGTGGGATGTTGGAATAAGAAAATCTTATGCCTGCTCCAAATCCCTTTTCTAGTTAGCAATTTATTGGTGTAGAACATGCTCTGTACCTAGGAACTATAATAAATATCAAATGTCTTAGATACACGTCGATTCATATATGTGAATATGGCAGAAAAATTAACATGACTGCCATCATCACTTCTACTTTGGTTCCAAGATGCTAAAAAATTATCCTTCAGGTTGGTGCAGTTCGGCATCCCTCCACAAGATGTCTCTAATTCACCACAATTGAAAATATAATTCTAAGTGAAAATGGGTTTGCACAAATTGGAAGAGAATTGGTATGCAGAACACTGCAAAGTGCAAATATTTGGGATGTATACTGTTATGTGTCATATTTACATTTGATTCTGTCATATTTATGTTACACTGATCCTAATACAGACTGAATATAATTAACTTTTAGTTATGTTTAATCATCAAATAAACCAGCATGTATTCGCTGTGAAAGTAGTACGTGAACAAAGAAATAATGGATTTTTAAAGGGAGCATGAATGAAAATTGACTTTTGCTGCTGCTATAGATGCTTTCATAAAGTGTGTTGGGAGGACTGTGTTTTAATCTGCTATGTATATAAAAAGTGTTTGTTGTTGTGACTATTGGTCCGCAATATGTTGTACGTTGCTATTTCGGGGATATGTCAAAGTGTTCCAGTTTTGGGAGTGCATGAAAGCATCCCAGCAAGAGTTAAAATGAACCCCAATTTCTCAATTTTTCAAGAAGGTACTTAGGCATAAGTTTTCAGTGTAGGCCTTAAAATTGCAATTAAATTGGATTAGTGCCTTTAGTGTTTTAGCATTTCTGATTTCTGCCTATTAAAGATATTACTGGTTTATTTTGGTAGGTTGTGTACTGCCCTAATAGCCTCCATAAAAAAGCAACAAAAAAGGTAAAATAAACTGTAACAATGACAGAAATAAAATCTTCGTAATTTCACAAGTGGTTTTCAATTTCCCTCTGTTATTATAGGCACACTGTCCACATTCTCATTCAGGTCAAGAAACGTGATCTTGAACTGTAAAAATGAGGTTGAAAAATTAGGTGTGTACAAGACACAACAGCTTGTAAAATGAGCAATAATAAATTAAGCATTCATGAGTTCCAGGGCTCTCAAATGCAGCTTGAGGCAGGGGACATGGCAGGAAAGGAAGGTGTAGTTATGACAATAAAATCATGAAGGAACATACTGGCTATTTCAAGAAAACACCCTCAGTTTTGTTTTCTTGACCTGGGGTATCTAAACTATGCAGGAAAACCAAAAAACAAACAAACAAACAAACAAAGGGTGCAACATTTCAACAGATAACCATTTTAAATATTTTGGCCAACAGAAGTTCATACATATTGCACACACTGCTTTACTAATACCTAAGGCATCATTTTAATGAGATCAGGTTTTTCAGATAATCACCATAGCTTCCGTTTATATGTACTGAAAAGGAAGATGTAACTACAAAAGCCATACTCTAACATTACACTTATCTCTTGCCCTAGTAGTATGCCTATTGTTTCAAAATGAAATATCATTTATTGAATGTTACATGCTTGCTTACATCATTGAGACATTTTACATCATGGTTGCTTTTGTCTTGCTTCTCATGCTTTTCTCGGTCATAAGCCATTTTTTTCAGCAATTTCCTCATTGCTTTCTCTTTTCTCTCCTTTTTTTGACTTTCGGCATTTTGCTTTCTTACTTGGTTCACGAGAAATGTAGGAATCTACAAGCACACAAAATGTTATTAAGGATATTATTACTATGTTTTAAAAAACTATGTTTTATTCAAGAAAAAGACAAAATAAAACATATGCAAATGTTTTTTAGATGTAGAAAACCACTAAAACACACATCCATATACTATCCTCTAAATAATAATAATAATAATAATAATAATAATAATAATAATAATAATAATAATAATAACAACAACAACTTTATTTATATCCCGCCACCATCTCCCAAAAGGGACTCAGGGCAGCTTACAGAAAAGCACATAAGATACATCCACATGGTTTGTGCCCAGGTTACCTACAGAATTGCCTCCTCCCATATAATCCACCCCTTAGGACACTGGTCAGAACTGACTGGCAACCATCACCGAAATTACCTTTTCATTGGCCGCCCCAAGACTGTGGAACAACCTGCCAGAAGAGCTTTGACAGCTAAATCAGTTGTCAGAATAAAATATGCAACTGAAGACCCATCTCAGTTGACCTACCAGGTCAACTTTGAACCATGAGTTTTGGATTTGCATTCTGCTATCACTGTATTTTGATTTTTATACCATATGTTTTGGTGTATGTATTCAATAGTGGTGTGTTTTGATATATTTGTTGATTCTAGAATTCATACCTTTCCTTTCCATCCAATTCACAGTTCAGACAGATTACAACTATTTAAAAATGATAATAATTAAGAATACTCCAACACTATTACAGCAAAACAAATTAAAAGCCATAAAACAAGAAATAATCGAATCATAAAACAAAGCAGTAAAAACACCATCCTTTAACAGGCTCAGAAAAGTGTAGCTGTAATAAAACTGTCTCAGATGTTCCAAAATATTTCATCCACTATAGGGCTTTCACAAATAGTTCATCAAAGCTAAGTATATTTCTAACAGGGAAAATTCCTTCCTTTCTGCCTTTCTTGGTCAGTGTGGGGTATGTGTGATATCTGCTGGACATTTTTATCTGGCGTAATGGATTCTGAATGTTTTTAATTTGTCAGCTGTCCTAGGACTGAATGCTGCATAGGATAGCATATAAATATTTTACATATAGTAAACAAATACATTTATCTTATTCTGAAATACAAAATAAAGGTAACAAAACATGGATTATTTAACACTGTAAAAATAAATATTAAAGTTATACAATAAAATACATAAAGCACATTATTTATTCCATAAATGCATTAAGCCACTGAACTTGAAAAATCAACTGGAAAATTAAGAATGATGTTGTTTGTATATTAAATAAGTGTACATGCAAACATTTGCACCCAAATTCAAAATGTCTCTTATGTAACCTTTATGGTAATTTCTCAAAAGGGTAAATGTTGAGTCACCTGCACCCTCTGTAAAAGAAAATTAATTATTTCTCAAAGCAATTCTGTTAGGGCAACAAAGAACAAACTTACAGTCCAAAGAAGATTTTGGTATTTAATCATAAAACGCATGACACTTGCTGTCCCAGCCGCCATAACAAACTCGCTTTTTTCTGTAGTCTTCGAACCCAAACCATGAAACATGAAGAGATTTGGAGCCATAACCACAGCAACATTCTTTAGGTTCATTTTGTTCTTATCTCGGTGATCAATTATTCTTTGAAGAAATTCAAGGAGTGCCTGAAAGTGAGAGTGCCATTTGAGAAGACATTATGTACAAGATCATAAAAGAGATAAAAAAATATCATCCAAGCAGACTATTGCGGAAAGATGGTTGAACTACATGTAATAAGCATGCCTCATTTGGGGAAAAATGTTTTTTTACCTCCAATAGAAAGACAAATAGGTGATCTTTTATTCTAGAGTAGCTTCCTGGGGACATCAAAATGCAGTTTAGAGAAGGTTTCTTGAGGGAATACATGGTTTGCTAATTTCTTACATCTATATCCTGCCTTTCCTCAAATGAACACTGCTTCCATCTCTGCATTATTCTCACAACGTAAATGTGAGACAAGCCCAAGATTATCCATGATTTTCATGGCATCCTGGAGAGGAGAATCTAGGTCTCCTATTTATAATCCAGTACTCTACTATACCACATAGCTTCATCTTGCTCAACTACATTGGGTATGCATCCCATTCTCAGATTGCAAAAAACAAAAATCATTCTTTGGCTCTTACAAGAACTGTGTGTTCAATATCAATTAAAACCCATCTCAGTACTTGGCAGCAAATTGGTGGTGTAATAGTAGAAATAGTAGAAAAGAGAATGATAGAATCATAGAGCTAAACAGAATATCTTGGGCTAATTCACTGCATCCTTTGCTTAATGCAGAGGATGTCCAGCCTCTGTCTCAAGACCTCCAGTGAAGAATATGTTATCCTTCCAAAAAGCTAGTTCCATTGTCAAACTTTGATTATCAAGATCTCATATCTGATTATTTAAAATTATTAGATCTAGTCTTGCCTTCTGAGGGAAGAGGGAGTTCTTCTTTCCTTCTTCTATGTAAGAGTCTTGCAAATATTTCAAGGACTGTCTTATGTTCTCCACCCTTACCTTCTATTCTTCAGGCTAAATATACAATAAGACCCCAATATCTTGTATGATACATATCCAGACAGACTTTGATTACTGGAAACTGCAGATAATTTGGAACACTGTTAAATAAATGCATTCTTGTCCCAACATAACATAGACATGCACTGGAAGACTAGTAATATCAACAGAGACCTTTCCCCTCTAGGTAGCTGCTAGGTCCTTCAACACAATTATATGATAATGTCAGGGTGAAGGATCCCATAGAATCACACTGGAGGACCTAGCAAATGCCTAAAGAAATATTATTTCCTTAGGCATTTAACTTTTACAGAAATATCTTACACTGCACAGTACTGACAATACTTCTTTGCAGTTGACAGATCATGATTTTGTCAATGTTTATCATTTCCAAATGCTGGCTGAGATATTTTGGCACGGCACCCAGTGTGCCCATGACCACTGGGACCACCTGTACTGGTTTTTGAGACCTTGATAATGGCTGAGCTTTTCCTGTTGTTTTTCCTCAATGCGGCTGTCACCCGGTATGGTGACATCAATAATCCAGACTTTTTTCTTTTCATTATTATTATTATTATTATTATTATTATTATTATTATTATTCCTGTCTTCTGAGTCTATTCCAAACACATTTGTTGTAGAAACATAAGTTTGAAATGTCAGCTGGTAGGAAAGCAGCAAGCTTATTCTTCAGTTATTTGTAGTGGTGACGTTTGCTTTTAATGCAGAACACACAAACCATCTCCTCCTGGATTCAGTAATATAAATATGATATAATAATTGCCTAACCTTCAAAGTATCTCTGTTTCCCTCTGGGAGAAGGAGGACCAATAGGTTCAGTGCTTGTAGCTGATGCTTCTTTGTTGGAAGTTCTGCCAATGAAATGTGAAAATACCAGATTTCTAATAATTCTGCATTTACTCAAAAACATTAGATGGTGTAAAACTTTCTTGGCAAGACATATTTATTTCCTATGCAAGTTCTGAAAACACTACTGCAACATATTTCACTTTGATTTCAGATGTTGTCTCATGACTCAACAGTGACAGGAGTTATTCTGTCTCAGATAATGAGTCTGGCCTCCTTTTGCTTCTTTATTTTACACAACAACATTTCTTAGTGTATGACTATTTAATAGGAGAGGAATCCTTCCCATATAAGACTGCCATTTATGCATGTGAAAAGGAAATACATTTGTGACACTTACTGGAGCCTAATGTTCTTTGTTAAGCACATGTTTAGTGTAAGTGTATACCAAGTAATTTCTAATGCTGAATCCATGAATCCCCAATCTCTGCAGGATTTCTAAGCAATCATTTCAGGCCAACAGTAATGCTGTTATCAGCAGTGCTCAGCAGGCTTTAAAACGTCTCAGCAAATAGTTTCTTTAACATTTTTATTTACAACTTAGCCATCATGGCAGGGATAAAATCCAACTTGAAAAAATGAAGCCTACACAAACACAATATGTTCATACCAATGCTAAAAATCTTCATACTTTCAGATATTGCCAGGGTTCATGTGAAAACATTACATTGCTCATGCACAATCCTTTTAAACAAGCAAATCTATATATATAAATCTGTTAGGTTGGTTCAACGGGACAGCAAAACTCCACAACCCCCCAACGAAACTTAACCAAAATTCCCATGCCCATAACACAACCCACAAGGTACAAACATATCTACTCAAAATGAAAAACAACACAACAACACACTCACAAAACGGCAAAACAACAAAACTCAAAAAACCCCAACGAAACTTAACCAAAATTCCCATGCCCATAACACAACCCACAAGGTACAAACATATCTACTCAAAATGAAAAACAGCACAACAACACACTCACAAAATGGCAAAACAACAAAACTCAAAAACCCCAACGAAACTTAACCAAAATTCCCATGCCCATAACACAACCCACAAGGTACAAACATATCTACTCAAAAAGAAAAACAACACAACAACACACTCACAAAACGACAAAACAACAAAACTCAAAAACTCCCCAACAAAACTTAACCAAAATTCCCATGCCCATAACACAACCCACAAGGTACAAACATATCTACTCAAAATGAAAAACAACACAACACACTCGCAATGCGGCAAAACAACTGAGCATGCGCATTGGCGCCCAGCCGCAAGTTCCCTGGGTGCACAAACAGCCTTCCAGCCAACGTTCCCTCTGCGGAAGCCATGCCCACTCCAAGCACCGCCGCGATGCTTCCCGCACACACACACCCCCTGCTGCACGCACACACACAACCCCACGCTCCATCACTCCCCCCGCCGCCGCACACACACACGCAACCCCACGCTCCATCACTCCCCCCCGCCGCACACACACACAACCCCATGCTCCATCACTCCCCCTGCCGCCGCACACACACACGCAACCCCACTCCCCCCGCCGCACACACACACGCAACCCCACACTCCATCACTCCCCCCGCCGCCGCACGCACACACGCAACCCCACTCCCCCCGCCGCCGCACACACACACGCAACCCCACGCTCCATCACTCCCCCCGCCGCCGCACACACACCGCAACCCTCACTCCCCCCGCCACCGCACACACACACGCAACCCCACGCTCCATCCCCCCCTGCCGCACACACACACACAACCCCATGCTCCATCACTCCCTCCGCCGCCGCACACACACACGCAACCCCACTCCCCCGCCGCCACACACACGCAACCCCACGCTCCATCACTCCCCCCGCCGCCGCACACACACACGCAACCCCACGCTCCATCACTCCCCCTGCCGCCGCACACACACACACAACCCCACGCTCCATCACTCCCCTGCCCCAATCTTACCTCCTTTTACTTCACGCCACCTCCAAACCCCACCCCCCCCCTTCCCCCCTGTCAAAATCCAGGAAAGACAGGAAGGAAGGAAAGAAGGAAAGAAGGAAGAAAGAGAAAGGGAGGTAAAGAAAAAGGGGGAAGGAAGGAAAGATAGAGAAAGAAGGAAGAAGAAAAGGAAAGAAAAGGAAAGATGGAAGGAAAGAAAAGAGAGCAGAAGAGAAAGAAAAAAGGGGAAGGAAGGAAAGAAAGAAAAAGGGGAAAGAAGGAAGGAGAGAAGGAAGGAAGGAGAGAAGGAAAGAAAAAAGGAATGAAGGAAGGAAAGAGGGAGTGAAGGAAGGGCGAAGATGTAGAGAAAGAGGGAGAGAAGGAAAGAAGGAGAGAAGGAAGAAAAGAGACCAGAAGAGAAAGAAAAAGGGGGAAGGAAGGAAGGAGAGAAGAAAAAAAGGAATGAAGGAAGGAAAGAGGGAGTGAAGGAAGGGGGAAGATGGAGAGAAAGAGGGAGGGAAGGAAAGAAGGAAAGAGAGAAGGAAGAAAAGAGACCAGAAGAGAAAAAAAGGGGGAAGGAAGGAAAGAGATAAGGAAAGAAAAAAGGGAATGAAGAAAGGAAAGAGGGAGTGAAGGAAGGGGGAAGATGTAGAGAAAGAGGGAGGGAAGGAAAGAAGGAAAGAGAGAAGGAAGAAAAGAGACCAGAAGAGAAAGAAAAGGGGGGAAGGAAGGAAAGAGATAGAGAAGGAAGAGGAGAAGGAAAGATGGGAGGGAAGGAAGGAAGGAGGGAAAGAAGGAGAGAAAGAGGGAAGGTTGGCCACAGCAACACGTGGCGGGTAAAGGTTGTTATTTCTATTATTATTATGCTATTATTCCTATTAGACCCTGGGGGAATGGGAGAGGTGTCAGGTCCCAGAGGCAATACATTGCATTATTGTTATTGTTATGATGGTGGTGAAATAAAAGGAAATAAAAAGTGAAAGAAGGAAGCAAACAGGGAGGGAAGAAAGGCAAAGGAAGAAAGGGGGAGGGAATGAAGGAAAGAGAGAAGGATGAAACCAAGTAGTGAAAGAAGGAAAGAAAGAAAGAAAGAGGTAGAGAAGGAAGAAAGGAGAGAAAGGGGGAGGAAAAGGGGGAAGGAATAGGTAGGTACCTCTCTTTCATAATAGACCAGATATCTACCTCTACTTTGAAAAGATTTACTATAGGCCACAGCAACGCGTGGCAGGGCACAGCTAGTAGCATATAAATGTAATACATGACTTAAACTTATAACTACATTATTTCTCTGTTCTGGTGCTTCACAATGTGAACTATCACACATTAGTATGTACATATCTGGCCTGTGCTTGATGAAAGCAAGTGAATACCTGTTTTTGTAATATATCTAGCCACTACCTCTTTCGGCTTGACCAGAGAAGTTATATAATAAACACTAAATTGGAAAATATGGAATATATACTTTGTCTATTCAGAAAAAAACTGCAGAAATAATGATATCTACAACAATGATGCAACTTTTGCAATGTGTTTTTTTCTTAAAATATATAATATTTCTAAATAGGAATATAAATGTTCTCGTAAATTTAAAGCACAGTTTGCCGTCCACATTTTGGGGTTTGAATGTTGCAGATTTTATTATTCAGGGATTCGATCAATATGGCCTCTCATAGTATGATTCTATGGTCAACATCTGATGTAAGTTTTATTTATGCTCTGGAGGACCCAGATGTTTCTAGATATATGTACTCTCATGTTTTTAAAAAACCTTGGGGTTTTTTTAATTTGTGGGTTTTTTTTTACTTTTGGGGGGTTCTGTGCCCCTAAATGCAGAAAAGTGGAGAGCTGACTGTATAAGGCATTTTATAGTGCAATCAATTCTGGACCATTTTCAATAGCCTATTCTTCCAATACAAAAAGGAATAAATCCCCTTTTTTAAAAAAATAGCCAAATAAACAAGACATTTTTATAGAAAGCAATGTTGTATCTTTGTTTTCAGATGTATGAAGTATCCAGAGCAATTTGCATGTAACTTCATGGAGGCTCATTTAAGTGTTGTAATTCTGCTGGTGAAATGTGCTGGTCAACAGAATGAGGGCATATCATTTTCAACAGTGCGCTTTGCCTGCACCCCACTCCCAATGATTCAGAAGTTGAGGCACTTGAAACAGTGTAGGAAGTGGAATATGGGCAGGGTTAGAAACAAATCTGCCTTGCTTCCTGCTCTGGTGGTGATAGAAATCTGTACTGGATCCAAAAGGACTCCAAAGTGACACCGACTGGATACACACCATAAAACTGCAAGCCAGGGAAGATTAACTGTGTCCAGTAAGGATATAAGTTGTTGTTTGATCATCCCACATTACAAGCAAAACAAGTATTGACTTGCATCAATGATGCAGACTCAGTATGTGACACAATTGCTATGTACTTACTTTGCACATCCTGGAAAGCCTTAAGATATTCCATAGTAAGCAGTGGCTGAGGCAGTTCTCGGATAAAAAGCTTCAGAAGACTTACTGCATCATGCTGCTTTAGATTTTCCCAGCAGAATGTTCCTTCATAAAATTTTGCTTCAAGCTCTTGGCAAAGATTCTGAAAGGCACAAGAGCAAAAGAAAAGCCAATGCAGAGAGCCACACACATCATATTTTATGCTTTTTGAAAATAGTATTTCAAAAATAATACTGGTTTTGTTGTGTGCCTTCAAGTTGTTTCCAACTTATGATGATCTTATCATGGGGATTTCCCAGCAAGATGTGGTCAAAGGGGCTTTGGCTTCCCCTGAGGCTGGAACAGTGTAACTTGCCCAAGGTCGCCCATTGGGTTTCCAAGGGTGAGCAGGGATTCTCCAGAATCACAACCTAAAACTCAAACTACAACATCATGCTGGCTCTCCTTTAAAAATATTATACCAGTCTGAAACTTTGATGAAAAAATGTCACTTATATTTTAAGATATTGTGCTAGCTTTCTGCATTAATTAATTACACAAAGTGCTTGCCTGCCCCTCTATTTGTCACGGCATGTTCATCAATGGTGCTAAAGACATCATTTTGCATTTCCTGTATCTATAATACAATGAATGTAACTAAACTGCACATTCATTTTACAATGGTGCTTTATACTCAGTCTTTAACTAATAATAGTCAGTAGTGCAAGATGTTGTTAAGTTTGAAACTTTCATTTAGAATCATGCATAAAAGTACCCTTCTCAATTTATTGAGGAATTTTCCATAACAACTTAAAAATTAAGATCAAATGTTGCAGAGACTCCCTCCATGCTGTTTCAGATAGCTATTGCTAGTCTTCCTCAGCTAATCAAAGTCCAAAATATTAAGAATTTGGTTTTTAGAACATTTAAGGGTATAGCTTTTCTAATCGCCTCATACAATATTTGCCAGGTGATATAAGGGACAGTACCCCAGTCTATTTATTAGCTGCCCAGAAGAGAGAATTTCAACAAGTTTACCTTAGGCAATCTGATTTAGAGAGATGGCACATGCTTTTCCCCAGTGTGCCAGGGAGCAGTGCCTTATCTGTGCCTGTTGTGCCCCATGAAGACCGTCACTGTTTACCCTTAGTTAAGGGGTAAAGACCTTTTTAGTTAGAGGGATACATATTTTATGTACAGTTTCTGGGGTGTCAATCCAGACAGTCTCTTTGAATTTGAAGGCACTGTCTCTCTGTCCCTTTAAGAATCCCCTCAGGGGTGGAGCCTCAGGCAAGTCACTTCTGGTTCTTAGAAGAGTCAGCCTTTTCGTGACTAGAAGGTGAAGAGAGAAGACGGCCAGAAGGTCTACAAATAGCACATCCAGTCAGAGCTATACTCAAGTCCAGTCAGAGTTAAATACTGAGACCACCTTAGAGACAGTTCAACGCCATACAAGAAGGAGACAATAAGAAAAAATAAAGCCTCAGTTTGGCCAGAACTGTGTCTATCTCTCAAAGAACTTACCTCTCTTATAAAGATTTTGTAATGAGATTCAGGAGGAAAGAAAGTCTAAAATTCTTGTCAGTTAATTTTTTTTTTTATTCAACTATATAGTCTCCGATCTGTTCCTTGCAAAGCTAGTTCACCTTCCAAGTAGTTAATTTAGCAGAACAGTGCCCCTTAGTTACAACTTTTTTGTTTTCACTTACTGATCCACCCATCAACCACCACTTTGAGGAGGACAGTTCTACATAATCATCAAAGTAATAGGAGTCCTGCCCTTTATTTCACCTGTCAACCTATGTAAATCTGTCCCAGATGCACATTTTATGAAATCTTTTACTGGAAATCTTTTAAAAGGCACAGTGGTCACACTGGATATACGAAGCAGAAGATAGCAGTATGAGTTCTTTAGAAAACAGGACAGATACAAATACTCTCAAATGGAGGGACAGCAAAAGCTTGTTTACTCAGGTGGCAAATCACAATCTAGTGGACATCACACAGCAATGAAAAGTCAATATGTAAGAAGAATAAAGAAATTGTTCTTCACCTTCTCTCTCATTTAAAAACAAACAAATAAATACGTACGTTGCTATATATGAAAAGCATAGAGTTGTTAACAACTCATCTGGAAATGTAATAATTTTTAACTCACACATCTGTCCTGTGGGATCCAATTTTCCATTGTGTTTCCACTCTCAGTTTGAAAAACAAACAACAGTCCACTGTTCAATGAGTCATTAATAATGTTTGTATCTTGGAAATACTTTAAAGATTTTAGTGTTCCATCTGACACAGAACACAAGTGTAATGGGACTATAATGGACACTGTACAATCTTCCCAGAGCTGAAATTTCCTTTTACCTTCACTCTTGCTGCAACACCAGGTATTCGAAGAAGTCCTTCCGTTTCCAGTTTTCCCTCTTCTATGTGGGAAATGAGCTGTAAATGAAAATGGAAAGCATTTCAAGATTGCTGCTTGTTGCTAAAACATTGGCACAGATATAAGAGTGAACACTGATATTACAGTAACCATGGTAATACATAAGCTTTTCCCACTCCATGAAGGAAGCTGTCTGTATTTAAACCATTTTTATACAAAAAGGTGGGGACCTCCAACCTTCCAGTTCCAATCATCCTCAGCCAATCTGGGTGAAATGAAAACAAGTTTAGTTCAACTACATCTGGGAAACTAGGGGTGCTTTGCTTTTGTTGTAATCTGATCTGATCCACTCAAGAATATCTTTGGGATCAAGTTACCCAGTCCTGTCTGTAAAATACTACTTACTTGAAAGGCTAAGTAGTGCAAGGCCATTTCACACTGCATCTGCTCTACTTCTGACAGAAAATGGGCACGAGTCATTTGCACAAATACATTCCACCCTGTCTCCCACAAAATTGTTTTAGTGAAGGAAGAGGTTTTGTATGAACCACAGAAGAAATCTATTTGTTTAGAGTTGTACTTGCACAGATAGTTAGGTTCAGTAGATAGAACATGCAGTTTCTTGATGCAGACTACCAAAAAAACAGAGTCCATGCCTCTGGAGCACAAAATGAGCTGGCTGATATGGCAAGTATGAAAAACACTAGGTTACATTTTGTCCACATTATCCCCAAGTATGCATACCATGTAACGGAATTGTCTAATTTATATTATTTATTTGCACTGTATGTTTACAAGAACCAATACAAAGCACTATAAACTGTGAATCAAAGCCCATCCATAGGCTTCTTTTTTCAATTCTATTGCACATCGAGTGGATTATACACATAAGGCATACTGGTGAAGAAGAATGAGTCAACAGGCTCTGCAGAACAACATTTCTGATGAGGAGTTTTCTGACTTAATCTGTAGTAGAGTTAGAAAACTTCAATGGGTAGTTATACACAACTCCACTAAAGCAGTCTCTACTAAAATAGACCCATTTACATAAATATTAGCTTAATAGATCTCCTCTAGCTGAAACTAGCAATTGAATTTAGGACACTATATAAACTGGCTTTTAGGATGCTGCAGTGCTAGCAGCAACTTTTTAAAGGATCCAAAGAACATGCAACTCTTTTGAAAGAATTTGTTTCAATGGTAAACATCCAAGACATTTGTTCTGCTGGTAGAAGTACATTCATAAACAGCACCAATAAAGAGGGGTGTTCTCATGTCACATGCCCTAAAAAATCTGCTCTCAAGGACTTGGAAGTTGTTTGAAATATAGTTTCAGGTGGCATGGATGGTGATATTGGAGGAACAGAATGTTAAAAAGTCCTGAAAGTATATTGTAAATGCTACAGTGCGAACATTAGTTCAGAGTTCAAATCTTAACTTATATTGCCCTGCCCTCAGAAGAAGATAAGAGGCAGGCACAGCTTCATCATGTCAATTGCCACTGCCCTATTCTCAGGGGGCAAGAAGAGGCAGTATCTGTCAGATTTTAGCAGTTTTCCCACTTCCACCCACTTCTCCATACATACATACTGAGCCTGAGGGCAGGGAAAAGTCAAATTAACAATCTGAAAACCACTCTGAGCACTTTTGTGGCTGAAGAGCAGTTCATAAATATTCTTAATAAATACAATAATTAATGAATGCTGCAGTTCAGGCACACAGCATAACTGGAACACACAGACATGCTTGTATTAAGATATGCTGAAATCCAGGACTGTTGAAGAAATGGTCAACATACTCACTCTTTGGAAGATAAATGGCACCCTTACGCCTGATACTCTCTTCTGATCTTGTTCTAGCAAGACTGGCAGTGGAACACCAAAAAGACCAGATTCTGTAGAAAGACAGGAGAGACAATACAATATTCTCATGAGATGGTAGATATAAAAACATTTTCAAAGATAGTATTTTTCTATCTGTTAAATCTATACAGATTCAGACCAACTAGACCTATATCAATTGCAATTTTCTGCTCACTTACCTTGGGATAAATCCCACAGTGGAACCTATCACTTAGATAGATAGATATATAGATAGATAGTCTTTGTAATCAACATAATTAAAAAGGTACATGCTAGAAATAGGGGAAAAAATCTTCATTTCTCTTTGTCCATCCATAAAAGAAGGAAACTTGTGAAATCTTATAATTCTGCCAGATCCCTATTCTTGTACCATACTGGAAAGAGCAACCTGTAGAAATCTGTATTTTTAAAATGTTGCATTAGCAACCCAACAAAGCTGTCCCACTTTAATTCTATTAAAGTTAAGAAGCTCAAGAGTTCTGAGATGCCATAAATATGTATTGCTTGTATTACCCCATAGACATTATGTGTTATTTCAATTTACTATTAATAAGGGATTCTTCGTTCCATTAAGTAACAGCATCAGAACTTTTGTGCCTTCAATTTTATATATTTTTGCAATTTACTTTAGCATAAATTGGCTATTATGGCTATTTCTAAGTTTTGTTCAATGTGTAAAAACATCGCTGCACCTTAATAATAAATCATACATTGCAACAATGGAGGAAAACCCTTGATTAAAAGCTCAGCTATAAAATTCATTAAGCAGAAATAAGCAAGCCATGGCTGTACCTAATTCAAGTCTCTCTTCTAATACAGTTTTTCTTATAGCCCTTCTATAAACATCATGTCAACAGAATATGTAGTATATGCACAGGTAAGTTAAGGTACACAAATTCTACATTTCCTTACTCCACTTGGGCCATGGCCAATGATTAACCACTTAATGTTAATCCATAGGATTAAGAAGCCCCTGGAGCAGATCTATTGGAATGGCAGGAAGAGGAAATGTATGGAGATGAAAAATAGATCTACTTTATGGACAAACATGTGCATATATGTTCATCAATGGTGCTACAGAATATAAAATATGATGTACTAAATTATCAAATTTCTGTATCATGCACAAAACCCTAATAAAGCATGATATCCCCACTCCCAAGGTTCCCTATAAATACCTGAAAATGCAGCTAAAAATAAACCTTATATTTTGACTCTAACTGGATCAAAAGCATACCAAAGAGGTGTATAAACACTTTGGGGAGGGTATTTTCTGGAACATGGGTAACCATGGATATTGTGTCTGTGGATAATGGGGTTGTACTATACAAGCTTAAGAACCTATGTCAGTTTATCGAAAAATATCAGACCAAGCATTATCAGTAAAAAAAATATCACATGGAATATAAACACTGGAGTAAACAGGAAAAGGCCCAATAGCTCCAATATATTTACTAAATCCAGCTGCTGGTCCTGACTGGAGGAAATCCATTGAATCAAGGGGATTTACCATTGTGTTGAGTCATTATTCAACAACTGATTCAAGAGATCTACTCTAGTAGACAGGATTCTAGCCAGAGAATGCAGATACTACATTTATGAAATGAACTGAAGCAGTGTTCTTCTAAAGCAGTGGTTCTCAACCAGTGGGTCCTCAGATGTTTTGGCCTTCAACTCCCAGAAATCCCAACATCTGGTAAACTGGCTGGGATTTCTGGGAGATGTAGGCCAAAACACCTGGGAACCCACAGGTTGAGAAGCACTGTTTTAAAGGAGGATCTCTCCTTCAGGAAATATGTGGAGTAGTTTTAGTACAAACAAATGGCAGGTAGTTGTGGAGGGCAAGTTTCTTATGTGGCTGGTTCAGCACTGGAACAAGCTATTGTTTTGGCTATGGAAAAAAACTGCATTCAGAGAATGCAATTGTTCCCTGCAGTTTTTCTCTCATCACTTACTGCTACTTTCAATTATTTAGCTACTGCACTATCATCTCTGCTGAACCCTGACTGCAGGTTTTAGGCCAGGAAGCTATTTGATTAACTGGTAGCATGTTTCAAGTCATTGTAAAACATTAAAGAGAAGGTCTGAAATGTAAGGAGCTAACAAAATGTGAACATTTCCTGTTTGTCCTTTTAAATATACTGCAACATTATATTTATTTGGAATTGAGTTATTAAATTTTCAAAGCTATCGAAAGAAAACTAATAACATCTACATTTTTAAAAACATGTGCAAAATACTAGTGAAATTATCCCTGTCTGCCACATGGAAGATGGACAGTATTCACACCAGGGTGAGCTAAATATATAACAAAAGCTCAACCTAAAATAAACTGTAAATCTGTATATAAGCATACATTTGAAGTTCATATTTATTTAATCAGAATTTTTAAAAATACGTACATGTATTTACACATAAGAACATAATGGGATGAGGCCCCACTCTAAGCACAATATTCATTCAAGTTTCACATACACTTTATACACATAGCACGGAAGTAATTATATCTAATAGTTTAAATAAAAAAACATTTTATACACTGAGCCATCAATGAGCAATCACCTACCCATTTAGGCAATTTCAGATTTGGATTCCTGAATAATGGATGCTCAACTTGTATTACCATGGTGAATAAACATAAAAAAACATCTGAATCATATGATTTAGAAATAAGACAAACTGGAAATAAAGATGCCCCACAAAATAAAAATTAAAGAACAGGCCCACTGGAAATAAAATACCAAAATCACACACATTACATAGTGTTTTAAATAAAGAACAACTTGATAATCCTACTATGTTGCATTTGCTTTGTTATACCCCATAAAATGAATATCTTACAGAGATTCTTTGCCTGCCAATCAAGCTTTTATAATTATTATTTTATTCCTGCCCTGGGACTACAGCCACTGAAGATAGCTTTTCACAAATTAAAATAAATCACGGTTATGAAAAGTTTCAGGGCTCAAGTTGCTGAATAATTCAGGGCAGAAGGCTTTAGGGCAAACAAAAATTCCAAAAGGATGCAGGGGTGGAGCTGAGGTGGAGCAAGATGCAAATATGAAGGTCAAACCTACTGAAAAGGTTCACTGAAAACACATCAGCCAAAAGATCACTAGTAGTAAGTGCCAACTTATTACCAGTGGCAAATGGAGCTGATAAGTCACACAATGAAAACATTTGGAGATACTGATCTACCATTCCCACTTTGGATATCACTTAACCCTTTTCTGTGCATATGGCAGCCTTATCTACTAAGTAGCATGATCTACTAACAGCTGAGCTGATAGATTTATCCATTTATTTATGACATTTCTACCCTGTCTTTCTCCAACTCAAGAAGGCTTTACAGCCATTCAATGCCTTCAACAATATGCAACTAAAAACAACATTTCAAACAGAATTATAAAATACACACATTAGGCCTTTAAAAAAACATAGAAAACCAATACCTTCACTGTTATCCTCATTATCCAAGACATCATTTATTTATTTATTTATTTACTTTGCTTATATACCGCTGTTCTCAGCCCAGGGGCGACTCACAGCGGTGTACAACATAGGAACAACAAAATTCAAGACATAGTATAAAAACAATTCTGGCCCCAGAGTGGCCATTGGTGTTGGGGGAGGGGCGCTGATGTCACAGGGGACAAGATGGCAATGTCCTCCTGGCTCCCCTTCTTTATTCATTTGAGCCGTTCCAATATTCAATCACACATAATTCCATGTTTTATCTATTGCACTACATTTCCAAAGGCTTGCTCAAAAAGCATGTTTTCACTTTTTTACGGAAGAAGGAGGGAGGGGCCTGATCTAATATCCCTAGGGAGGGAATTCCACAGCCAAGGGGCCACCACTGAGAAGGCCCTGTCTCTCATCCCTGCCAGTTGTGACTGCGAAGAAGGCAGGACCAAGAGCAGAGCCTCCCCAGACAATCGTAAACTCCTATATGGTTTATAGGGAGAGATAAATGGGCTGAAACCATTTAGGGCTTTATAGATATTGTACTGACTTCTTTAGCAAGGATTCAAACACACATGAAACTTTGAAGCTGTAATATATGGATAATAAAAGCATGTACCTTGGGTTGGACTATAAGGGCATACAAATGTGACTGGCTACCCAGAAGTCAGTGACATGGTCATATCTCACATTTGTAAAATAATGCATTGATTTCTGTTTATAGATTTGGGCTGAAATCAAAGTACTAGCAGGATTTTTTATATGGCAGAGCAGAAATCACAATGTTAGCTATCCAGCTAAAATTATCACATAAATGCATATAAAAGCACATGCACACACATAGATGCATACTGCAAACAGAAGCTGCTCACCTTTTACTTTACTTTTTATTGCTTTTTGTGGCTTAAGTTCTGTTCCAAGTATATCAAAGAGCGCGGTCAGTTCAATGAGAGCCAAGGCATGGATTTTCTTCATATCCTGAGGTGCAAGGGCCCCTATCTTGGTTGTACCCGTTTTGTCTTTTGGCAATCTGAAATTCTAAATGGAAGATTTAAGATTATAATACATAAATCCTAATTTCAATTTATGATTTTTTAAAACAACAAAGAAATAAAGGAAAGGTAAAATCTGAGTTCAACTGCATTGCCCATGTAGTCTCATCCGATTCTATGGACTTCATCCCATGCAGTAAAATCAGCATTTCTACACATTTAAGAAACGGCATGGTGCCCTTCACTTGACGCAAGTTTCAAAAGTGGGGTTGAGGTATTTTGCCCTTTCTAAAGTGTTGGTTTCCACAACAATTCCTGAGCCAGTTGGGAATTGACTTATTTTTAAATTATCGGCATAAAGATGGGCAAAGTGGCCAATTTCTCTGTGTGATGTTAATCCCTGTTGCCCGCTTGTAAATAAAACAATGACACCATGTGTGGGAGGAGCCAAAACACAAATTTTCCCAATTTTTAACCACTTTTTTACAATTACCTTGGGGGAAAATCAGGGTTAATGAAAAACCACTTTCTACAGTTGCCAATGCAATGAATAAAGAGGCTTGGGGGAAATCAGGGTTAATTTAAAACCATTTCCTACAACCTAGAGTGATATTTTTTAAAAAGATAAATAATTGAAATCTTGGTGGGAGGATGCAAATCTCTACCATGTGATAAATCAAATGAATAAATTCTAAATGCAGAGAAAAGTAGAAGGTGTGGTGGGGTAGGAAAATCATCTATTAAATTTCCAAATGGGGTACCACTGTATAAAATGGGACCCTGTACCAAACCAGCAGATGCCAAGGGCTCCCTGTACATCTTTGCAGTACTGCTGCTGTGGTTATGACTTAAGGAAAGTGCAGCTGGCCCTCCGTATCTCTGGGTTTTTCATATATAGAAGCAACCAACCACAGATTTTAAATAAATAGAAAATAAAATCCAGAATGTTTGACTGCAGTTGTGGATGGCTTGCAACGGAAAAAGGCGGCATGACAAGCAGTCCTATGCAAGGCTTCTACATTTACCAAAAGATGCTGAAGTTTATAAAGCATTTACTTTATAGTTTTTAAACAAGACATATAATTTTATAATCATTTTAATAAGAGACTTGATAATCTGTGGATTTAGGTATCTGTGGTGGGGCCTAGTATCAAACCCTGGTATATGAAATGCCATCTGTATACATGATATTAATTCAGGTGTGGCAACTTCCACGTCTGCATCCTATGACTTCCTTAATTTAGGTATCCATGACAGTAAGTTGATAGCAGGGAAGTATAGAAGGAGCTATGCACACAATTAGCATGGGGTCAAACATACAAAAACAACTCCTTCATGTGAGTAGTCAAGCAACAAGATGCAACATTTATTAAGTAATTGTGGGCTGGTCCATGAGATCATGAAGAGTTGGAAATGACTGAACAAATGAACAACAATAACAATTTTATTATAGATAATTTTGAAGATGTGTGCCGTCGCGCCTGGGGCTATAGAGAAAGAGGCATGGACATGACTGCTTTCCCCAGGGGATTGCTTCTTGCCCTCCTTTAGGGAAACTGGAACTCCCAAGGACCAGAACACAACAGTTAACTCGAAATGATGTTTATTGTTAACAGTTAGCTTTCTTTCTTAGGTACAAACTTGAAGTTTTAACAGGGAAAAAACACTTTATAAACTCTAAGTCCAGGGTCCTAGGAGTAATAAGCTGAGAAGCTTTTCCTGTTCCCTCTCTCTCAATGGCTATGGATGCCGGAGCAAACCACAACCCCAGTTCAGTGGCCTAAATTGAAGGACAAGACCTTCCTATGGTGCCAAAGAACTGGAATGAAGGCGCCTGAGGTCTTCACAATTTCGTTCAGGAGGTTTGAACATAAAGAATAAGACTCAGGGGTCAAAACCTAAGAACTGATAGTAAAAAATGCCTTGACCAGGGGCTTTTGGGCCAAGCTTTTGGACACGTCCATCCAATGAGTCTTTTACTGAGGTAAAAAAGGTGAGGGAGAAACCTTCCCTTTCTCCCTTGGAAGGGGCGGAGCCTAAACAACTGAACTGGGGAAACAAACCAATTGGTGCACAACAACAATAAATTGACAGCTATAGTAACCAATGAAATTTAACTATACATGTACAAGGTAGACAGAAATAAAATGGCAGTTTAAAATCCTGCAACTAACAGTTCTAAATATATGAGGCGCCACACGCACCATCACAAGATGCAAAGATAGGGTGACAAATGAAAACTGAAGGTGTATTCCTGCAAGAAACAAGAAGCACTTACAGGAAGGAGTGTGTCATCTTCTTTGTCCTTTGACACTTTGCTTATTGGGTTATCTTTGAGACTAGCTGCCTGTTCAGAAAATGATATTTCCAGATTTATATCTGTTTCAGTTGCTGGCACATCATCTCTTGGGCTGTTATCATCAAGATGTTGGCTGTGTGCTAGAAGTCACCAAAATAAAAAAGGAAAATGAGTAAAATAGCCATTAATTTTACATAATACTTTTTCCTTTATAATATATTTCGAATTTATAAAAATAAAGAATTTACCAGATTTTGGACTCATCATAAAAATCACAGTCGGAAGGTACCATAAGGGTCACCTGCCATGTATAAATACACAACTACTGTATTCATGAAAGATGGCCATCCAAAAGTTGTTTGAAGACCTCTGAAGACACAGTTCACTATCTTTCAAGGCAGCCTTTTCCATATAGTACAGAAATTCTTCCTAATGGTGGAATATGTTATTTCAATTTGAATCAACTGCTTCGTGTCCTTGCTTCTTGGGTAATAGAAAGCAAGTTTACTTTATCATCTACATGATGTCCATCCAAATACTTAAAGGTAGCTATCAAATTTCATCTCCATCTTCTCTTCTGATTGACTGAATCCAGAGATATGTGGAGATCTATTCATAGAATGCTGTACTTCACCAAAGAGAAGACAATGATAGCTGGTCTCTACTTTCTCCTTCAGTACTTATGTTCCCTGGGAGTCTGGTCAGGAGAACTAGAAGACTTTCCAGCAGCACAAGAGGCAGTGTGGAGATTGAAGGAAGACAGGAGGGAGGTGCACAAAAATGGCTTCTCCTGATTTGTACTTCATGGGTTTATATTAACTCTCATCTCTGTTATATAAACTAAATGGGCTAAACTGGATCCAGCCCAATAAACAGAGTTAATAATATTGAGACAAATTCTCTTCTGGTTTACACTGATCCATCACTTTGTGTAAATGTTCTCCTCCAAAAAACGAATTTTATAGTTGTTTGAAAATGTCTATCATGACCTTTGTCTATTCCACTTCAGTGCAACAGACAGAATCTAGGCCAGTACAGACTACATATGTAGCAGAATGCAACCTGTACAATTCACCCTGACACCGAAGTCCTCTGGGGGGCAGACAGAACCGGACTGAAATTTTCATTACCCTCTCCCTGCCACCCCCAAAACTGTGGAATGACCTGTACAGAGACCTCAGATAGCTTAATGAGCTGTCAGAATTTAAAACAGAATTAGATCTACCCAGTCGGTTTTAAATCGCATGCTATGTTTATTGTGTTTTAACCTTTGTCTCAGGTATTTAAATATGTACATGTTGTAATACATGCTTTTATGGTTGCATTGAAATTGTTTTAATATGTGATTTTATAAATGTATTGAATTATGTTGTGCTCTGGCTGAAGTCGAAAAGAGAGGCAAACAATAAACATTTATCATTGTTGTTGTTGTTGTATTCAGATAAGTGGCCAAGATAGGGACACCTTTGCTTTCTAATTATTCCAGGCACACAAACCTTGCATCGTGTGCAAAATTATCAAAAATATTCTGGATAAATTCTGTATAAATTCTGATTATGTGTATAAAGGGTATATGAAACATAAATGAATTATGTGTTTAGACATATTATGTGGGTATATACAAATGTACGTATTCCAAAATTTGAGAAAAAAGTTAAATCCCAAGCATTTTGGATAAGAAATACTCAGCCTATATTGCCTGATCATGTGTTATTTTACACTTCAGTCTTTTATCTGATGTGAACTAACAGTACTCTGTCAAGACGTAAAAGGACTATGTTTTCTTCATTTAATTTATCCATATATTTATTCAAAGTCTTAACTTCACAGTCTTAACCACAAATACACTTCCAACTTTGTTGAAATCCTTTCAGCCACTTGAAGGATTTTTGATGTCTTTGAAACAATAGGCAATACCCATTGCTACAATAACACAAAACAGAACAAAAATCTATTGTGCTCTTTTAAAATGACATTGATTATTCCTGAAGAATCCCTGGCACAGCCTAGGAACAGGTGCTACATTTGTACAAAGATAAGCCTGGACAATTCAGCACCCAGAACACATTTCTATCTTGTTCTGATCCTGGAAGCAAAGCTCCACATGACAGAAGGGTTGCCAACAGTTGTGGCCTATCAGGATTCAGACGGGCTGCCTTGGCTGTGCCCTTTCATTCAGTTCTGTGGAGAGCTAGCAGATGGAAATTGCCTTTCAGGATTTCCCATTTTTGAAAAGCTCATGAAGAGGCACTGGAAAAGAAGAACCAGATGTTATGAAATTCTTAAATAAACGCTTGGTGCTTTTCCAGGCTAGGATTCTGCAGAAGAGTTTATTGGCACAAACCCTGGGCTTTTCAAGCGTTCTCTCTGCCTTCTGCTGACCCAGCAGTTTGGCTGTTCTCCAATTTTTGAAACTGTTCTTACTAATGAGTGTGTGCTGGGTGGCTTAAGTGAGAGAAGAAAAATCTTATTAATGGCCATGGGAACGCACATTATTTAGCTGAGCGTTATCTTTGGACTTCATACAATTTTGGATTTATGGCTTTGTCATTCCATGTTGACCCTGTGCTTTGTATTTTGCAACATATTTGTAAATTAATTGAATATTTTAATTTTGTGTTTAGGATTCTCACTGCTCTTGAAAGCATGCTTTTTCCTCCCTCTTGTTTTTTGCCAAGTTTAGAAACCCTCCTTCCTTCCTTCCTTTCTTCTCTTTCTCCTTTTTTAAAAAAAATCAGATATATTAATTAGCATTTCTGGCTACAGTTCACCAATCCCTGTTTTCTAATTAGTCAGACATTTTCCATCTTACTGTGCTTCCTTATTCTATTTTAAGTTTTCCTTGATTGAGACTTGGATTGCACATATAAATCTCACTTGGCTGCTTCTGTATATTTCAAAACATAAGGACGTTACCAAGTAGAAATGCTCATATCTTAGGAACACATCCACATAATGAGAGGTTCTATTTCCTTGCGGAGGATGTGACACTTTTAGAAATACTGGGTTCTGTCCAGTGTCACCTGAGCTGACCTCCACATACACAATGCTACTTAATCCTTCCTTGTCACCCTCAAATCTGCTCTGGAGCCCCCCCCCCCCAATCCTCAGGAAGACATGCATCAAACTGCAATGGTAGAGGAAATGGGGAAGCCACATGATAGAGGGAACTGGTGCCAGTGGTGTCCATTTGATTGATAAACAATTAGATGTATCCTGTAATCTTCAATTATTAATAGTTAGATCCACCTTAATCCCAGAAATGGACCAATAGCCAAGTGAAAAAGTCCTAATAACCCATTTCAGCTGCTCTTTTGAACTAACAAATCTAGTTAAAAGGGATTGTGCCACTTGTGTTACCAAAACATGATTTTAGATTACATTAGTCTGCAATGGCAGGGGGTTGGGGGTTGGCAGGGATTGGACTAGAAGGCCCATGTGGTATCTTCAAACTCTACAATTCTATGAGTCATTCTCACATGTTTCTTTTTCCCATTGCATGCGCTAGTTTATTCATCTGCTTCCTAGTTTTCATCAGACCACAGATTTACCACGATATGGTGTTTTATACCACAGGCACATGGCTGCATGAATCATCTTCAGCCTCATAAGCTATTTATTCTTCTTTTGCTTATTTCTAATTTGAAGTGTAAACCTCCAGCAGAAAACCTTTGAAGACTGCACACTGTAAAACAACCCTTCAAAACATGGTGCCTTCCAGATACCTTGTGCTAAAAATTTATATGGTCTACCTATTGTGTCTATGGTCAGATCCAAACATCCAGCGAGCATCAGAAGGATAGAGGAGGCCTCTATTAACTTACATTTCAGCACAAATAAATAAATAAAGAAATCATACTTTCATTATAAACAATGACTAACTTGTCCATTACTTTGGACAATGACAAAATATACTATAGCTCCTGAGCAATCATCCCTTGATGGAGACATCAGAGCTAGATACTACATGGCTCTCGTCATATTATGGGATTACAACTGATCACAGCCCTAGCCAAAACAGACACAGCAAGCGATCTTGGGAGTTTCGGGACAACATTATCTGGAACAGCTAACATATTGGGTGCCCCTGGCATTCCATAAATATATTGAAATATTTTCACAAATTCAGTCTTGAAACAACCATGTGGCATCTTTATATTTCCTCTCCTCTTCCCTATTTCTATTTTAATTTTCTTTTGACATGATAGTTTGGGCTTGCAACAAACCACACTTCCAACTCATTGAGGCCCCTTCTACACTGCCATATAAAATCCAGATAATCTGCTTTGAACTGGATTATAGGGAAGTGTAGACTCATATAATCCAGTTCAAAGCAGATAATCTGGATTATCTGCTTTGATAACCTGGATTATATTGCAGTGTAGAAGGGGCCTAGGTTTTAGTTAAAAAAAACTCAGGAAAGCTATGGAACCACTAGCAAGGCTGTTGTGACATGCTGGTAAGAGTCTACTCTTGTTTCCCTTTTCTAGCTTTTCTCAATATGGTCTTGGGTTTCCAGTCATGCTCACTGAAGTTGATAGGATCTAGAGGCTGCTGCGATTTTATATGTTTTTATGAATTTAATTTGAATTGTTTTATCAATTTAAATTGTTTTTATTTCTAATGATGTTAAATACCGTTTTAATATTTGTACATTTTAAATTATAATGCTTTTAATGTTAGTCTTGCTGAGTCTCCTTATGGAGACAAAAAGCGGGATATAAATAAACATAATGATGATGATGATGATGATGATGATGATGATGATGATGATGACGTCACTTCTAAGTAATAGAACAATACCAAAAAAAATCAATTACCCTCTTTTTCTTCCTCTTGTGCCTCTCTTGTTCTTACTGACTGGGGTTTACTGCCAGTTTCCTAAAATGCAGAAAATAAGTGCAGAGGGAAAGAAAATTAATCTAAATCTCAATATAAGCACAGGCAAATCTTCTTAAAACTGACATTACAAAGTTGCTGTGGCTTAACGGAGTCATATAAAAACTTCATATTGGACTCCAGAGTGTTGGACTCCTGCATGGCAGGAGGTTGAACTGGATGGCCCTTGTGGTCTTCTCCAACTCTATCATTTGAACTAAATCAATATTGTCAACAACATGTCTGATATTTTAAGAGGTAGCTGATCCATTTAGAAGGGCCTAAAAACCATAACACAAATTCAAACTAACAGAACATCTTATCCTATCAATTTGTGTATATCATGCATAAGAATTATGCTGCCTCCAGATGTTTCCTAAACTTTAACTCCTAGCAGCCCTTAGACAACATACCTAATGATGAGGAATGATGAAGAATGATGATAGTAGCAGTTCAATAACATGTGGACTCCTGCATAATAACTGATCTGTACAAAGTTCACACTCATAATATTCCTTTGGACACCTATAGAACAATCATTAGATTCCGTTCTAAACAATGCATGAGCTATGCTGTTATGTTAATTCATGCTTAGTAGGCAGAACTTTTAAAAAATGCAAGGAAATTTATTTCATCAAAAATCCCTAATGGATGTCTGTTCATTTTGGTCTCACGATGTATACTTTGAGAGCAAACAATGCTAATTCCATAGAGAATAAAAACACATCCCATGCTTCAACTGAATACTCACTCAGTAAGAGGCAACTCATACAACTCATTTTTGTGATATCTATTGGGAATCATCATGCCAATGGAATTAAATCCATGCCATGGTACTGAATTGTTGCCAATGTGTGAGGCTGCTCTGAGTCCCCTTCGGGGTAGAGAAGGATGGGATAAAAATGTTGTAAATACTAAACAAATATTGCTTCTGGCCTTTTTGAATGTTTGGGTGGGGAAATGGTGGAGGTAGCCAAGGTGGCGACCCCCCGATATGGCATTGGTGCTTTTCCCTCTCCATGGAATGACCCTCGATTTATCCATGGGTCATATCAAAGGCCGTAATTTTGGCCTGAAAACCTGTCCTCAACTTATACATGAGGTCAACCTATACATGAGTATATATGATAAATAACAATGTTGGTATGCTTGAGAATGTTGGATATGAATACATTACATAAAGTAATTGTGGCCAAAGCATCTGCTGAGTACATTTTAATCTTATATTCACCATTTTTATAAGAAACTAATAAATATTCTTGATAAATTTCTATTTCTTCCCACTCTTGAATTTTATTAACCTTGAGACACTGCTCTTTCACAGAGATTTGAAAGTGTCCTAATATTTAAGTAGAGCATTATCTAACACAAATATTAATCTTAATCTAAACCAGCCATGGTATAAACCTTCATGCAAAAGCGGGGAAACAGTTCAGAACTTGCTAGGAGGTTTGCCATTTGTAGATTTCCTCTGGGAAGAGCAACATTCAAATCCACACTGCACTGGTCTTTTTAGTTGCCATTACTAAAAATGCCAGTGAATTCTGCAGCACTCAGACTCAGAAACAAGCTTTGGAGTTTCAGAAGTATTCAACACAAAAAGAGAAAGAACCACTAGAAGTTGTACATTCTCATCCAGTTTGGGTCAAAATCTGGGTTACAGATCACTGCTGACCCTTTCTTTAGGAGCTACTCTAGGAAAACTAAGTCTGGACCCAAAGACCAAGCTGGATTTGCAGAAATGTTTCCTTTTGCCCTTAGTTTTCCCAGACCAACTTTGCCAAACACTGCAGCTCACTTACAAAGCAAAAGTTCAGCCCACCTCCCTTAGTTTGGAATCACTTTTGTGTCATGGTTTTTTTTTCCAGTTGGGCACAATTAATTCAGATCATTTCTGACAAAAATAGTCATTTCTTACAATTACAAACTTCTGGGAATACATGAATTGGCTTCCCTAATGTAAATGAAGTGTACACATCAATCCAAGGTCAAATTCATTACGCAAAAGCAACTCCTCCTTGTCCTTGATTCTCTAGTCAATCTACATACGCCAGTAGAGTGGAATCCTTTTTAAAAAAATTCAGTACATTAGCAATCCTTCTCTGTTGACTCATATTTTTTTTCAAGGCCTAAATGGGATAGGGTAAAACATGAATACACCAGGGTCAGAACACAAATGAATGAAGCCCTTATGTATAGAGTGCTGGCTTCTTTTGTGGAATTTGCTACCCACAGGAGTTCAAAGAGCACAGTTTAAACACGAAACACAGCTGTGATAGTGGAAACACATTTGCAGACTGATCTTATCTGTAATTATTTGAAGCTTTAGAAACTTCTTTGTTCCATATGCCTTTTTGCTTTATTGTATGTCTTGCCCCTTCAATAGTTATTCAAGTGTTTCGCTATGACTTGTTTCAGATGAATTTTGGAATGTATTCTCCGCAGATATGTAGGGAATGCTGAATAGAGACGGTCTATGCTAGAGATATTCCCCTTTCTTTAGTGTAACTAAAGGGTTTAACTCCCTTTGTCAGCTCCAGTTCCCCATGCAGGGACATGAGAGAAACCCCTCACAAGGATGGTAAAACATCAAACATCTGGGCGCCCCCTGGGCAACATCCTTGCAGACAGTCAAATCTCTCACATCAGAAGTGACTTGCAGTTTGTCAAGTCGCTTCTTACACCAAAAAAAATGTAACACTAAGTTGCTTTTGGAAACTGCATTGTCATGGTTACGATCAATGCCTTCAACCCACACGTTTATACTTATGTTTAATCTCTCTTTGGACATTACTGGTACATAATATTTGGGCTCAACTAATTCAACAAAATATCTGCTATTCCAGTTTATGGCTCTTATAATATGTAAATGAAGATAACCTCAACAAAGAGAGAAAAGTCCCTCAAAACTCAACAGTTTTCTCTTTTATTTATATCACACCTCATATCAAAATATTTCAGAGTAGCATATGATTTTTAAACAGTGGGAATTAACTGAAACATAATATAATAATTCATTTTAACATGTTCCACAATATAATTTAAAACATTAAATTTAAAATATAACCATTTAAAACAAATTCAAGTGTTGAATACTGTGCACAAGTGCAAAGTGGATAAAACCATTAGACTGCAAGTCTTTAATAGAAAAAAACAACATTTTAATTTCATGAAACCATTCAACTGGGACTTTACATTTAACTCAAATGTCCTCTTCCACATTTCCCTACGGTGTACTGCCCCCTCTTATTTCCCTCAGTTCTTGGGGAAATCTCTATAGAAAGCGATTACCCTTCTAATATTGAGGTTCCAAGCCATTAACTGTTTGAAATGCTATCATCAGTTCCTTGAATTCAGACCAGAAGTGTATTTAACAATGATTAGTTAATATCCCCTTAATGTGGATGAGGTCGTTGTTTTGTGGATATACTTTTACTCGGGTATTTTGGCTTTTATTTAATTTATAAGAACCACTGTGTTTTAACTAATGTTTTATACTGCTTATTGTTTAATTTGTTTGTTTTCTCTTTTATATTGACTATCATGTTATTAACTGTTTTATTTTATCTTGCATATATTATTTATTGTATTTATTTATGTTGTAAGCCTCTCCGAGTCCTTCTGGGGAGATGGGGTGGGATACAAATAAAGATTATTATTATTATTCAGACCACAAGTTAGTGATAAGTTATCTCTACTGATGTCTTTGATGTTGAGAAATATTTTATTTTAGCATGTTTCTGATTTTTAACATCACAATATTGCTAACTTTTAACTTGAAAGATATAAAAACAAGAGTAAAATGAAAAATAAAACAAAAAGAGCATTAAAACTCTTTTTCAAACAGTGACAAAGAAATCTACAGTTTAAAATGTGCTTTATGATCTATGAATCTGCTGCCTGAAAAGGCTGTTTCACTTTGTGAACAATAGGAAACTTGCTGATCGGATCTAGTATGTTTGATCTGATATGGTTTTAAACAACTGCTTTAAAGTGGAGACAATATTATTCTAGTGTTCATGTATATTTATAGTTTATTTTATATTCCGAAATTGAATGTTTCCCATAGATATGCTGTGCTCCGCCCTGAGAAGGGTGGAATATAAATGTTTTAAATAAATAAATAAATTCCTGCTTCATGGAAATGCTGCAAACCATTATAACACACCTGTATGGATTCCCTCAGCAGAAATTTCTTATCTTTATCCTAGACAAACTGAAAAAAATGTGTTATTTCAGTATTCTTATAGTACCATATAAGAGATTTTTGGAAATATCCACAGTTTAGATTCTTTCTTATGGGTAAGAGAGTATATTTTATTTGCGTTGTAGCCTATTTTAGAATATAGAGTTTTTAAAAGCAAAAGCAAACCAGCAGCTTACTTTTTCTTTTGACTCATTTTGCTGCTTGAAGATATCTCTCACATCAGGGACTTGGTACTGCTTGTTTTTCTTCCTCATGGTCTGTGTGACAGTATCCACTCGTTTCTGAACTGCTGCTGCCTGGGTTCGGGTCAAAGTAGCCAAAACCACCATACTTTCTTGAGAGTCCACAGAAGCTTCTCCACAGAGGTTTGACAAACCTGCTTCTTTTAGCCACTCTTCCTCCAATTCTCCCTCTGAGCCAGAAAAAGAGAAATAAGAACATATATGTCAGATACAGTTGATGTTAGGTGTGCCTACTACACACTCTGCTAAAGACATAAAATATCATTTGTACTACTGTACTGTAAAAGATTTATAAGCTGCCTTTCAGGGTACACCCTCCTATATGTTGATGTCATATCAGAAAGCAAATGGGTCATAACGGATTATTCAAATTAGATACAGCCAAGTTTTTTAATTTACTCTCAAATTTCTGGTGGAAGAGTTTGGCCATAATCTCAGTTATGTCCCAAGTTGTATTTTCTCATTTATGAAAGGATATCACCTCAAACTTAAATAAGCTTTGGAAAATATCTGTCTCAACTCCAGGCAATTATGAGGCTAGTGGAATTAATTGGTCTTCATTTTAGTATACAGTATGACTCCCATACCTGCAGGACAGGTAACCATGGTTTCACCTGACTGCATCTTACACATTACATCTTCTATGAATTTTCTAGGTCCTTCAGGCAACACTATAGCTGAAGGTTAATGTAGAATCATGCTGGCAAATTTCTAAAAAAATCTATTTCTTCCAGCATGGCCATATGATAACTTACAGTTGTTCATTTCAATAGGCTTTGTTAATATTAATGGTGTCCTATTTTCACAGTAAGTTCAAGAATGTATCACCTGCAGATAGAGGAGTCATATTGTATTTCATAGCAGTCTCTTGAACCTCTCCCATAGCAAACAGAATCTTGCTGCGTAATAACAATAACATGTTGGCGTTAGATATAGCAGGAAGTATGATCATTCACTTGCCTTTGCCTTCACCCAAAATCTTTGCTCTGCAGGAACCTATTTGCCTTTGTAGCTGAAATCATTAAAAGATGCCATTGTTCCTCCTTTCTTGCAGATTTTTTATGATTCCTTTCTATATTTGGGTTTTTACATTTAGATAAGAACTCCCTGCACCAGTATTCCCTCACAGTCAATAATATATGTGATTGACACCTTGAATTGATTAATATTCTGCTTTTGATAGTTCTATACCTTTCTCTATTTCTCCCTTTTCCCTTCCTTCCTTTCTTTCTCTCCCTCTCTCTCTCAATCCCTCCCCAACATAAATTGTTAGCAATTATTTTGTTAATACAACCCTTAATCAGTTTAGTTTGATCTAGGCTAAAATGTAATTTTACGGCAAATGGCTGTTTGTATTGTACCAGCAAGGTTATCTGTCATTAGATTTGGGACTAAGTGGGGATTCTGAACAAACAGTGGAAATAAATGTACAGGAAATGTTGTCTCAGAGGGTCACTGGAGAACAACTATGTATAGTCAAACCTCATCACATCAGCCAGAATGACACAGTAGAAAAACAAGAGTTTGTGCTTAGAGTGCAAGGAGGATCAGCTTTCTCAGTGCCAGTAGTGAGAGGGAATGTGAGATACAAAAATTGGCAAGGAACTTTGGATCTAGCTGTTCATCCACACATTCCTGCCAAATATGAATGGAGAACAAATTCCCTCATAGTAGGAGGTAACATACAAAGCTTTTACAATTACTTTCCTGTTCTATACTTCTTCAGTACTTCTATCCTTCTTTAATCCAACTTTTTTATGCAGACAGATTTTTCGTCAAAATGCAATTTTCATCATCAGTCCAAGAACTTTTAGAATCTTGCCAATGTGTGTGTGTTGAGGGGATCTTTTGAAATGTCTTCCCTTCTACATAATAATAAAGTTAGCATATGATTAAAAAGTGCAAAGTTGAGCTGTTGAACCTTATGTCAGAGAAATAATTTTAGTAAACGTTATTTCGATTACCATCAGGTTCTTTGACAACAACAACTTGCTGTTCCTCATGATCATTGTCTCGGGCTTCATTGATGTTTTCAAGTTCCTTCCAATAGTCATCCATGGATAATTCATCCAGCGAATCTTGAGAACCTGAACGATTGTAGGGAGGCTTCCCTGAGGGCTTCTTGGAGTTGTCATGGTTCATCGTATATTGGCCAGATCTGCGGCTAGAAAATGTAAATACATGTTAAAAGACATGTTAAAATGCAGCAGGGATCATAGCAATACAAAATACATAAAAAGTTATAACCCAAGTCATTCAACGAACGTTTTTATCATTTTTTTCTCAACATTTGAGAAGCACTAAACATTTCATGAGATTACAGTGTGAAGGAAAGCAGGGAGAGGAAATCTTTAATTCTCTGTTCTCAAAAACATTCCAACTCATTTCATCAACTTTCAGGGTCACATAACTGTCTGTGAAGAGAGAACTTTTCCCAGGCTAAGACAACAGCCACTTGAATCATCTAGCACTTTGTGAGTGTACTTCGAGATAAACACTCCAAATATGGAGAAACTCTCCTTGGATAACTTGTGTTAAAAACAGCAAGATAAGTTCAAAAATAATGAAGATAGTAAGTTAATTATTGTCCCCAACTATTCCAACCAAGGCCTAACCTTTTTTCAGTTCCCACTAAATAATGTAGGTTTCTTTACAGTATGAACTTCATATTGTAGGGAATATGTTCAAAGATCATGGTGGATATTGGACTGAAGCCTCTTCTTTTTTTTCTTTTTTCTTTTTTTTTTTTTGCACAGAAAATACTGATTCCAGTGCAGGAAACTCAATGTCTTTGCAAATAGAAATGTATAAATAGGAATCAAGAACTGAATAGAAAACTTCTTGTTTCTGTACAGTTGGGAGAATATTAATGAACCTGTTCCTTCTTGTGTTGTGAACATGATCAAGAATTAAAAGTTTACTTATGAAAGTGATCGTGAATGAAACAGGTTCCTGAATCTGTCTCAGCTGGGTTTTAGGAATTGTCTTGGTCACCTGTGTTACTGTTGCATGAGAGAAACGCAATGGGAGTTTGACTCTTGTGATTATCTTGGATATTTCAGTATGACCGAGAGCCATTGTAAGAGAGGTCTTGTTGGCAATTCCTCCACTCTAATTTATCTAGCCAATACTCTCTGGCCACACAGTACCTTGATTTGTGATCTCAGAGGGTTCATTTCTAACCCAGCACTTGCCTCTACATTGTTTAATGTCTATCATGTCTAAGAATGATTTTCTAAAAATATCAATATACAGATCATGCTCTATCTTTTAGAAATCAACATCAGGAGAATCTGTGGGCATCTCCAAGTCTTGTCCTGGCAAAGCAGTGTACTCCCATAGTAACATATTGAATGAAGGCTATTGAATTGAAAGTCAACTTAGATAAGAATGATGATTCCTTTGATTATTATGGTCTAAGAAATATAATTCATCCAAAAATAGGCTGCACATTTGTAAAGTAAAACCAAACCAGTGTATGCACTCTATAATTGTTAGTCATCTGCTTTTATTCTCTGGAATATTCATGCTGGATCTTTATGTCCCGAATTGCTGTTTCCCTATATTATTTTAAAACTCTATTTTATCAGCAGCAGGGCATCTTTTCTACCAACTTTCACACATCCCCCAATTTATAAGAAGTTTTAAAAGTTTTTTTACTAATAAAAACAAACACTGTTTTTAAGCTTTTGCATTTTTACACGGTTGTCAAGCCAGGTGAACTGAGGCAGGAGTACACACAGACCAGAAGGTAAGGCAGGGGAGGGAAATAAATGAGTCATTCAAAAAGGTGAACAAAAACAAGAAAAGGCTTTTTTTGTTTTAAAAAATAATTTTTGAGGGGAGAAGAAAGGTGCAGGACAGAGTACAGAAGCAAGAAGATAGATAGGGTTGGGGAGAGATTGAATTCTCCCTGAGGAGACTCAAGGGAGTCAAGGTTATCCCATCCCTTCACCAACCCCCTAAGGTAAAGAAATATTTAAACGAACACCCCAAAAATGCCCTTTCACAGCCCCCCCCCCAAACAAATGCCCACCTCACTTCCCTAGCAAAATAGTAAAAATAAGGACTGAAATATATTTAACTAATAAAATTTAATAAAATTGCCCAGGCAAAATATTGGAATCCTAAAAGCAATCCTAAGCAGCGACGGTACTGAGATAAAACACTATCTAGCTACCTAGCACACGATCTTTCTCTCTCAGAAGCCAGGACGTCACAGAAAAATGGAGGAGCTCACCCTCATATATGTAGATCAGCTTGACAGAGTCAAACCAAGCACCAATGCCCATTCCATATCTGGGGATTCAGTTTTCTAAAGATCCTGTTTTAATTTCCTAGATCCCGTTTAGAAAAACAATACCATGCACACCCCTATTAGGTACATGTTGTAGCCTTCATTTATATTATAGCATTCTTCAGAAGAAATAATACATCTACACACAGTACAGTCCTATAGTCTATTGCAGTAGCTGCCCTTTGCTGTCTGAGCACCGAGGAAGAAATACTCTGAACTCCATTCAGCTACCCATATACAGTAGCTGCTGGTGGCTTAAGTGCCAGTGGGTGATGAATTCACTCTGGATTTTAGTCCAGGCTTTAAAGGTATTATCTGAGGTACTGAGCCTGTTTTGGGGATATATTTGGCAGCTTAGATAGCTGCATTCATGTCGAGAATACATTCATCACATTACTGGCATCAGAGACAGTAGCTGCCACTGAAAATATATAAATCTGCCATCAATTATACTGTCAAAATCTGACAATTCCTTCACCTACACACACACACACACACACATATATATATGAATGAGATGTATTTGCTAATCTATTTTTAAAATACCACACCCCAAATATCTAACTCCTTGGAATTCTATCATTATTAGTGAAAAATACATTTGCAATTACTTAAAGATTGACAGTGAATGTAGTTGTTCCTTTTATCTATATGTATAAAGCTCATATGAAACAAACATGTCCTTCTTGTTTAGACTTTGGTCCCATTTTCAAGATATTTCATTGAGTGAATGCAAATATCCAAAATCCAAAAAAATCCACAATATGAAAAAACATATGGTTCTAAGCATTTCAGACAAGGGATACCAAACTTTTACCTTTCATTATCTTTAAAAAAACTATTCATTTATAATTTTCCCTTTCCTTAATGCCAGGACTCAAGACAGCATACAAAATTTAAACACTTATAAAGATAGAAGTAAAACACATTGAAAAATATTATTAAAAGGCTATAGAATGAAAATAATTTCAAACAGATCCATTAATAGACAAAAAATAGCAAAACAGTGCAATATTAAAAATCCTTGCAGCATGTTCACCAAAAAACATTGGCCAATTGGAAAAGGGCAAGAAGAGATTCATCTTAACCTTCCTTGTAGAGGCTTGGCAAATGAAATGCTCGGCAAGCTATACACTATAATAACTTTCAGCTAACACCTCATGAAGGCTGAAGTGAATGCCAAGGAATGGGTTTCATGTTTTCCTATCCATGATATCACTCAAAAACTATTCCACCTGCTGAAAATAATTTAGTGGACACAAAGGAAACTGGAAAGCATTCAGCTACCTGCTTGACTGACAAGAATATGGTGAACATCAAGGAACGTACTATATATTTTCTTTCCAATGATATCATTCAAATGCTTCTCCATCCACAGATTGACCCAAAGACATCGGTTTCAAGGCAAGTTATCATAAAAACTATTCGCACCCAAGGCCAATTCCTGTCAAGAATGAGGCATGTGCATATATATTCTGAAGCTTTTCTTTAGTAATTAGCTCTTGCATTGTTGCAAGATAAACATAACCTTTTGCAGAGTCTTAACTGTTTGCTTCAATCATGATAAGAAGTTGTATTTCTTCCCTTCCCCTTTTGGGGCCTAAGTCCAGTATTACAGAAACAACAGGCTGCTATGCAATCATTGTGTCTAAATGGGTTTATACACAGTTCACACTGGAGCTGTTGGAACGAATGACTACCTTTCACATACCATTTAACTACTCACACAAAAGAGGAATGTAAAGCTATTTTCCAAAGGCTCCATTCACTACAAAAGATCTTTTCCCTCTCAGAACTATTACTATGTTATCTCTGGCATAACCTTTAGAAGCATGCTGACATGAATTCCAATGAAAAGAATAGCTTATAAAAGAGCATTGTAGATAAAAACCAGTTATTCCTCATCCTCCCTGAGCTACTTACAAATGTAATATTTCAATACCATATTAGAAACATTTTTAATCTATTCCTAAATCATTAAAGAAAAGCTTATTATAGTGTTTGGCCAAAGGATATCATCTAAGTCAATATGGTGTGATGGTGAATGTAGTCCAACTAGGGATGGTGGAAGTTATAATCTAATGTACCAGGTTAGTGAAGTTAGTGAGTTAGTGGCCTCACAACTCCAGGTATTCTTGGTAGATACGGATTATCTAGACCCGGCACAGTCTGGCTTTAGGCCGGGACATGGTACCGAGACAGCCTTGGTCGCCTTAGTGGATGATCTGCGCCGGGAGCTCGACAGGGGGAGTGTGTCCCTGTTGGTGCTGCTGGACCTCTCAGCGGCCTTCGATACCGTCGACCACGGTATCCTTCTGGGACGTCTCGCGGGGATGGGTCTTGGAGGTACTGTTTTGCAGTGGCTCCGGTCATTCCTGGAGGGTCGATCTCAGAAGGTGTTGTTGGGGGACACCTGTTCAACCCCACAACCATTGCCTTGTGGGGTTCCTCAGGGCTCAATATTGTCTCCCATGTTGTTTAACATCTACATGAAGCCGCTGGGGGAGATCATCCGGAGTTTCGGGGTACGGTGTCATCTGTACGCGGATGATGTCCAACTCTCTCACTCCTTTCCACCTGCTACTAAGGAGGCTGTCCAGGTCCTGAACCGGTGCTTGGCCGCTGTGACGGTCTGGATGAGGGCGAACAAATTGAAATTGAATCCAGACAAGACAGAGGTACTCCTGGTCAGTCGCAAGGCCGAACAGGGCATAGGGTTACAGCCTGTGTTGGATGGGGCTGCACTCCCCCTGAAGACGCAGGTTCGCAGCTTGGGTGTGACCCTGGACTCATCGCTGAGCCTAGAACCCCAGGTTTCGGCGGTGACCAGGGGAGCATTTGCACAGCTAAAGCTTGTGCGCCAGCTG